CAGTTTTTATGACGTTGGAAACCCGATTTTTCACTAGTATTACTAGTCATTTATCTTACATACTCAGTTGAAATCACACTATTTCAATGTATATTGACCCTCATGGAGCAAAAATTCACAAATTTTGACGGAAAATGGTTACTGGAAGGACCCTGGGCTGATCTATCTATCTAGACTTAGACTTAAAGGCATCCAGTGCAGTTTTAGGGCTTGGAAAGACGATTTTTCACTATATTCTAGTCATTTATCTACATACTCAGTTGAAACCACACTGTCCCAATGTATCTTGAACCTCGTGGAGCAAAAATACCCAAAATTCTGACGGAAAATGGTTACTGGATCCTAGGCTGATTTTAGGGTACCACCCAGAAAATAAATGACTCATCTTGGGGCTTGTTTCTGCAGTTTTGAATACCCAAAGTATGAAATACTGACTCAAATGTGCTAATGTGGGACAGTATGTGTAAATATCAGAAAGATTGCCTTATTCAGAATATTTCCAGTTTTGCTGCTCTGAAAATCGAATTGGACGCCTTTAAGAAATGTAGCCGGTTTTTATTTAATTTTGTTGGTATATTTCTTTGGTTTTAAGAACTATACGCAAGTTGTAGGAGGGATTTGGTGTCAAAGTTTTTTCAGGAAAATAGTTTCAATTTCTTTGCATTGACGATAGCAATCCATATGTGTGTGCGATACATTTATACATTTATCTGTCTATACTATTTGCAATGGACATTTGATAGTTTTCGCGTTATTTCTGATACCCTATTAGTTTGATATAAGAAAATATGGTTAAAAAATGTATTTGTAGTTCACGTTTTTAAGTAATAATGAATGAGATTAAGTACGGGATTTTTCAACACGCCACACCGATTTGTTTTCATACTTTTTTGACGTCTTTTTAATTATTAACGGAATATATTATATATCTGGTTAGAGCCAATTTCCTTGCAGTGATCCTCAGTAATAGATAGCCAATTTGGGCCTAATTATTTTATGCTAATTGGATGTACTTGATACATGACACTATTATCATTTCTGTAAATTGTGCTAAGTCCCCTGGGAACGAGATCGGATAATAGGGTTTGGGTTTGACACCTTGAGATAAATGATGCTTCTTCTTGTTCTTAATTTTATTATCTTTCTGTAGCTTTTGAGATTTAAGGTTCCATCGTCTCTGTCATTAAGGTAGCGGTTATCATTAAGGTTGCAGTTGAGAGGTCGTCCTTTTTTTATCATTGATGTACGTATGAGGTTGTGTTAGTCAGAAAAGTGACTGAATGTATCTCAAGCTTAATTTCTTCTTTTTCTCATTATACTATTCCTCTGTATCTGTATAGCGGGTATAACTGCCCTTCAGCGTAAAACACCATCTTCGCAGGCACGTGGCGCGGCGGCAGCTGGCTACATTACACCGATCGACTTGTTACACCTACCCCTTGAACATTTAACTCTAGACATTGTTTAATGTTATCTAATGATAATGCCTCTACTGTACTTGGTGACAGTGAGTTCCACTCTGTGATAGTTCTTGGAAAGAATGAGTTTTTGAACACCTCAATCCTTGGTTGATAACTCTGGTATGCACCCTAAAATAAATGCAGCAAACTAATATGTTCTTTCCGTTTTCTGTCTTCCCGTTGTTTATTCTTACGTCTTCGTTCCTTTCTTTATGTTGTTCTTTCTCTTTTCCTCAGACTTTCTTTGTTTCCGTGTTCTTCACAGTCCCACACTCTTTCTTCTCTTTGACTTTCTCTCCATCTCTCCTTCTAACTTAAATCTCAACTTTAACAGTACTAGTCTGTCTTAAAATTTGTTGTTTCTTCTATTTCTCTTTCCCTCCATCTCTCCTTCTAACTTGAATCTCAACTTCAACCGTCTGTCGTGTGGCGTAGCGGCAGAGTGCTCAACTCTGAACTAAGAGGTCCCGGGTTCGAGTCCTGACATGCCACCGATCTTGTGCCCTTGGGAAAGGCACTTCACACGACTTTCCTCACTTCGCTCAGGTGAAAATGAGTATTGTATTGTCCCCTGTGTTGGTGGCGGCATTGATATAAGTTGAAAAAAACTTGAGTGTGCCGTCATCACGTCTTGTGATTACATGTTGGAATATTAAAACTAGAGAAGTAACATTTGCCAAGCAAATGCATAATGTTTACCTTCGGACAGGGTCTGCTCTGTTAATTCCTACTCAAACACTTTCTATGTTGACAGGAGCAGAGCAGACCATGAAATTGCAACATTATGTAACCCAACACCAGTCACCATGGTGACAGACGTCAACAAATCATGTCATTGGTCAGGTCAGAGGTAACTGTTTGGAGAAGAAGAAGAGGATGAAACAGAGCAAAAAAAATATGTTTTCGTTCGGTAAACATAAAAAAAAACTTCGTGTGCGGCAAACTTTACTGACCCAACGCCACCAAAGTTATCCAATCGCCAGAAACGATCCTAAAGCTACGGTATGAGCAGCACTATGAATGCATGCCCTCCCTGCCCGCACCCACAGCCGCAATAACATGTGTATCTAAGAGAAATTCCCAAGAGTCTGGCTTCTAAGACGCCCAATTTGTCTGGAAGCGAGAGTTGAATGCGCTAAACATCCATCGATCATCCAAGTTCCTTCATCCGGAGAGCCAGTCTTTGACACCGCGCCTCAACCTAGGCCAGAGGTCGGCTGACCCCGCGGTAATAAGTGCCCGAATTCGTGCAAATATCACAGACGAGTCAGGCATTGGATGTGACAGCGGGGGGCAGCCCGGATTAGGACCCAGGGTCGGCAGATGAGAAGTTGTCAGACGATGACGAGAGAGGCTGCGCGGTGTCAGCGCAACCCGACTCCAAGATTGACACCTGTAAAATTAAGATATTAGCCGGGTCACACCGGGGAAATGTCAGAGGGTTGTGCGGGAGTTATCGCTACCTGCATCCCGACCAAGTCTTTGCCAGTCGCCCATATGCGAAAAGCACGGGCTCCTAACCTTTTGAACGGAACTTAGGTTACAGGTGGTTGGTAATTAATACGTGCGGGGGAAATGCGTAACAGTACGTGATTCAGTTTTTGCTGAGCGTCACGTCATTTCAGACTGTTTGCGATTAATTTTCGGCGCCAGCCCCAACTTTTACATGCAACACGAATAATGCACATGTAAAATGGTGTAAAATCACAATTGAAAGCTGCAAAGTTCCAAGTTTCTAAGCAATTTCACTCAAGTTACAAACTTTGGATAAAGTTAACTGTTAGTTATTACTTTGGTTATTTCATACGTTTCCAGAAGTTTTTAAAGACTAAAAGTCCACCTGATCTAAACACATTAGACAAAGTTTTTTCTATCTGACTTCACCAAAGTATTGAATTGCAATAGTGTCCCTGTTGTCAGAATCGAGCAACGGATATTCACTGGTGGTTGAAAAGCGCCACTCGACGGACAGATTTTAAACTACAGGTGTGAACTTAGTGCAGTCGTGATGCTAAAATCCATGGGAATTTCATCGCTATACTTTGGTAAAAATCAGCATGATTGCAGATTTCTGCCCTAGCTTTGAAGTATATGCTTCCTAGAGTGGTAAGTTCCTCGTAAAGTTTGTTTTTGCCGTGTTATACCATTGCCAAATCCATTGCACATCTGTAAACCGTAGCCACCAAAAAATGACCGTGCGCGCGCGCCCCTACCGGTTCGTTTCAACATTGCAGGTATTGCATCAAGCACGGAATCAAGATGGCGGACTTTGTTTTGGTAGCTGCGAGTTTCAGACCAAAAACATGAATTTATGCCGTTTTTTGGCCATATTTTGGTAGTTAGGAATGCCTAAGGTGATGCAGAGAGTAAGCTGATATTTTCTAGATTGGAAATTTGAAAACACCTTCGCAAAATGTCGAGTTTCGACGACTTTGAAGAGAGCTTGAAGCGACCGGTGGAAACTGACACACCAAAACAACCCATCAAAATTCTGGAACCAGCTCTGAAAAACTTCACAAAAATCGCCATCCCGCACATTCTGGAGAAACTTCACACTCACAAGATCAACATTGAAAAGGTGAGCGTATTTTCTAACATTCTATTCTGCTGCTAGCTATAATAGCATAATTTTATGGCTGCCCCCCTCCCCCATTCAAAATACTAGTAGAAACTTTGGGCAAAAATATATGTTTGATATTATTATGACACTTTGGGTCCTATTTCCCAATTTTTTTGTAAAACTGTTGGATCACACTGAAAAATCTTCACCAAGGAAATAAGGAAATTGTTTATATAATGTTATATCATAAACAGACAGATACAAATACAATGTACTTGAGATGTTTGTATATATTTTTGTGTGTTTTTGTTTTTCAGTACCAAAGAAGTGGGAAATGGGACAAGCTGAATGCAGAACAAATTGATGCCAGCAGAGCGCTACAGGTAATATGCCGTTTAATTTTTAATTGACTGACAAATGATTAATAAACAAATAATAATACTGATGGAAAAAGGAAGTGGAATATTACTAGTCAATGATATTACTAGTCAATGATATTACTAGTCAATGATACATGTACCTTGTTATAAAATGTTATATCTCTTGCATTTAATTATACAGATGGTTGGTATTTAGCATAAGAATAAACTAGAAACTTTAAGGTAACATTTGCAAAGCAAATGCATAATGTTTACCTTCGCATATGGTCTGCCCTGCTCTTAATTAATTCTTACTCAAACGCATTCACATATATGGTCAGACAGGAGTCTTAATCCCTTCTGCTATAAAATTGCAACATGATGTAACCCAACACCAGTTAGTTACCATGGTGACAGACGTCTGGTTCAGGTCACTGACCTCATTGGTTTGGAGAAGAAGAAGAGGAAACAGAGGAAAAACAATATGTTTTCGTATGGTAGACATTATCATTTTTGCCAGTTTATCATTTTACAATGATGCTCTTTCTTACAGCAATTGAAAGCGACGATGCGTGACATGGACCGAACCCGGCAGCAGATTCGTGATGAGGATGTGGAGTTGTTTGACAGGCGGGTGAGTCCTGTGAGAGACGAGGCCTTCAGGGCTGTGGCTGACTTCATGGAGATGTACGCAGAACCCGTGGAACCTCTGGCAGACGTGGAGCCTGTTATTATACCACATCAGACTGGTAAACAAGGTAAGGAAACATACATGTAAAGTGGCCCGCGTACTTTTTAACGCAAGCTGCTAGGGACACCAAACTTACGTCACTTCTTCCTTACTCCAACAGCTTTATAGTACATAAAAATCATGACTGTAGCATGTTTAGAACAGGAGATACAAAGCCCAGAAGGTTGGCTGCAGTACCAAAAAGCGCCCTTGGAGCAAATTGTGCACCGGCAAAAAACGCCCCTGCAGTTTCAACGCAAGTTGCTAGAGACACCAAATTTATGTCACTTCTTCCTTACTTTAACAGCTTTCTACCACATAAAAATCATGACTGTAGCATGTTTAGAACAGGAGATACAAAGCCCGGAAGGTTGGCTGCAGTACCAAAAAGCGCCGCTAGGGGGCGCCAAAAGTGAAATCAAGTGGCCCGCGTACTTTTTCAAAAGAGTAATGTCTCATGAGTATTTGTACCAAGTTTGGTGCTTGTATCACAATTTGAAAGATTATTTCAGTTATCTGCCGCACTAATACTTCAGTGTTTGAAATACCAGTCTGCAATCTGCAGATAGATTTTTGGGAATAGGTGCACTGGTGCACCCAACCTAACAAATTGGGTGCACAAATATTGTTGTATTCTGACACTTGGATGTTAAGACTATGCTGTATACTATTATACTATCTTTACATATGAAAACCTACGAAAATATTTGGGTGCATTGGTGCACCCACAGAAAAAAAATGGGTGCACAGCTGCAAATTTGGGTGCACCAAGGTGTTTCGAGCCCTGGACTCAAACCCAGGACCTCTTGGTTCCTATTTGAGCACTCTGCTGTTACGCCATGGTGTGCTTGAGCCACACTGTTACAAATACATGTATGACAATGTCACAGACACATATTCTTCATCAAATTTCCCAAAATTTTCAGGAATTGCAAGGAGCACTAGCAGAGAGTTGGGAAGAGAAGACACCCCACCTGATGTAACCATGGCACAGGAGCAGAAACAATTACCCAGCATTCCTCAGGACCAGCCTGCCTTGCAGTCATGGGGGAACCTGAGAGAGGTGGGATTTCATTGGTTGATCCAGACTGGGGCTTGGAACCAGTTTTGGTCTTACCATATTTTTATCCATTTTCAAGCGTAGGAAAGTATGGGATGAAAATTGCATATGCTAATGTCAATACAGCATTTGATGTAGAAAATTGTCTGAAAAAATTGCTAACAGAATTATAATAATAAGAAAAATCCTGATTTCTTCCAATATTTGTCTTTTTTTCTTTTCCATTTAATTAGATGTTAAAGCCATTTTGTGTACTAGTACTTTATGAAGTATGTGTCAAGTAGTAGTATTTTAGGTTTGTGAACTTAGGTTAAAAATAATTAAAATAAAAGTAGTCTCCTGATTTGCTTGCCTCACATTCACACCACAGGATCTTGTAGAGCTGAATGATCTCATCCACGAATTTTCTACCATGGTCCATGTAAGTACTGTTCTCTCATACAATGTCCGTTGTTGCATTCCTAAAAGGTTGATGACAAGGCTAATAGATAACAGAAACACCACATTGAGAAGTTCCGTAGGTAATATATATATATATTGTAGTATTACTATTAGAGATTTGCTTTAATACACAGCCACGTATATTGAAGATATGACACTTTTTTTTTCATCCTTAAGGCCACACCAATTTAATTTCTTGGTTAACAGATTTTTCTAGAAAAAATAATGGAGCGGGCGGGCGAAAAAAAATAAAAAATAAAAACAGGCCTAGGCATCGTATTATGGCCCAAAATGGTACGATAGGAGCCATGAAGTCAACACACCAGGCTGGTTCAAAATTTAAACAATGAATTTTGAACTTTTAATGATACCACTGCACTGAAAGATGGAATTACTGTAACAACTAGGATGAAAAGGACTGTTTTCAACTGTTCAGGGCAAAATATGAGCATTTTGCAGTTGATTCTGGATTTTTATTTTATTTGCAAATCAGAAGAAAATGAAGCGGCGAATCCGTTAACCAAGAATTTAAATTGGTGTGGCCTAAGATCTTGTCTGAAAGTGCCTGGCTTTACCTGAACCCTTGTACATGTATTCATGTTGAAGTTTCTTTTTCCCCAGGACCAAGGAGAAAAAGTAGACAGGATACAGGACCATGTAGAACAGGCTCATGGGAATGTGCAGTCTGGGGTCAAGGAACTAGGAAAGGTCAGTGACCTCTTAGTTTACTTGTTAACATATATACAATAACATTAACATGAACCTAAGATGGGATAACCATGAACCTAAATATGTATTAGAGTCAAAGTTTTAAAAAGCATGTTTTAGATTAATGCTAGAAGTGTACCACATATACTAGTAGAATAATCTTTTTCGAATTCCTTTGTTATAATGGTAGCTAGGTAGGTGTTTGACTAGGGGGGTTATACTATCACTAACAGTAACAGCCCTTTCGTTGGCTGATACAATGACAATGACAATGATGTTTATTGCATATTCATGCCCTTCCGGGCTAAATGCATTGGATGACATAACATATTGGATGATACTAGTTACTAGTACATAGGGGATTGTATAAGAAGAAAAACAAAACAAAACAAACAGCTACTGTATACTATAATTCATCTAACTCTATGGCTTACAATAGTTTACTAGTTTCTTCTCTCCTCTTGAGACATGCGTATACGAATTCACAGAGTTTCTCAATCACCAGGTGTTTAGACGATGACATTATGTATGTGAACAGTTCGTCGTTTGTTAACTTTGTAAATCTCTGGCCCAGTTTAATAGTGTTAAAGAAAGAGATGCGTAGATCTCTGTACAATGGGCATTCCAGGACAAGATGTTTTTCATCTTCTATACAATTATTTTTACAGAGTTCACAGAGCCTATCATTCGGAGGAGTCCGGCTGTATCTACCAGTTTCAATGTGCAGTGGATGGTCGCTAGTTCTTAGCTTAGCCATGGCTCGGCGAGAGCTGAAGTTTTCAATGTCCAGATATTTTTCTCTTTCATATGACTGTTACTACGAAGACAGGATCGCTAGGTCTCTGTCAGGGGGATGATGTAAATCACCATGTGGCTAATATAATACAAGATGATGATTGTTGTATATATAAGCAGTATGGGTAAGGTGGTGAAGTCTGCTAGCTCTGATGTTTACTCGTGTTTTCTCCCAGGCTGCTAAGTACAAGGCGGCCATGTTCCCCGTGGCGGGCGCTCTGATTGGTGGAGTGCTCGGAGGGCCCATCGGATTGTTTGCGGGAATGAAGATCGGTGCAGGGGCAGCTGTGGGAGGAGGAATACTGGGTACGTACAGATCCTGATTGGATGACTGGTGAAGTAGTCTTTGTGTTCACTTTGCAGTTGGGAAGTCACGGGTTCTAACCCCAACCAAGCCATACACCAATGATTTTAGAAATGTTTTTTTTTTTTGCTTTGCTGTCGGCACTTAGGCTACAGCAGGATAATTTTATGGATGACATCCTCCGCAGACTCCAAATCTAATGCAAGCGGGCGAAAGAAACAAGGCGGGCTGAAAAAAATAAGATTCCTACATTTTGAAATTTTGACAAAATCATTGTACAAATGGTTTTGATTCAGTGGGAACATCACATATACACAGCAAGCATCACATATTACTGCATCAAAGTAAGAAATAAATCATTAATCAGAGCCTTTTCTTGTCTCCTCTCATTAATATCTGCCATCCACCAACAGACATCTTTGCCCATTTTCGGCATGTTGACCACTGTCAAAAGGCAACAAAATTCCTTTTTTTTCCCCAAAATCAGGCAAAAATTAATGCGCACGCTGATGTCATCCATAAAAATTACTTGCTGTGGCCTTACAGAAAAGAGGATGGGCATTGAACACATAGGCATACATCTACCAGTGGACTAGATCCCTGCTGTTAACTACACTGGAAGCTCTAGGAAGGATTTTAACTAGTATTTGACAATGCCTAAATTTACTCTGAACACTTTTTCTAACAATCAACGAATCCTAGCTGTCCATCAAAATATAAACAGCCCTTCAACCCTTAAAGGAGTACTAACCTCCAGAAGGAGGTGCTATATTTTGACAGGCATTTATTTTTGGAAGTGAAAAATGCATATTATTTTACAGTATACAATTAAATGCCCATTTTGCGCGCAAGTCTTAAAACGCATCGAATCCAGGACAAACTCTCCAAATACCCTCAAAACTATCCCAGAATACACCACGCTACCCCATTGGTGTCTATACTTTAAACAAAAAGTTACGTTACAGACCTCATTTTGGGGGCGATAAGAAAAATTTGTACCGTTTTGTGTTCTTTGGTATCTTACCAACCATTGCCCTTCTTGGTGTCCTTATCGCCCCTCATTTATGCCGCAAATATTGACGATGAAAAAAACGGCGTAATCTAGTTATCCTTTCCATAAGTGGCGTAACCTAATTATCTGTTCAAGTAATACTTACATGCAAATAAGTTGAGAAAATCAAAACACGCAGGATGAAACTGGCTCCCACTGTATTCGACATCCTGATATTATAATATCCAAGCCACATGTCAAGCAAAGTAAAGCAAGTAATTTCTCAATAATCAGCCTGTTAATGTGCTTGTCTCCTACCATTTTCGCCAAAAAATGTGTATGTTGACCTGAAGTGTATGAGTATTGCGCAAGCCAGAGTTCCCGGATGTATCAATTGTGGTTCAGCATGGGGGAAAATGATATCAATATCACTTTACAAACATGCGCCGCTCAAGTCGTACAAGCAAAATTATGTAAAACGTCGGCTAGTTATGTATTCATTGCAGCATGATGTATCGGAAAATAGCACTTCCTTCTGGAGGTTAGTACTCCTTTAAAACTCTTTAGTTCAGTTTTTGCTTGCCTGCCAATGCCTAATAATCATCATCAAAATCCATGGAACAACTTCTGGATATAGAGTTACCAGAATAATTGCTTGAAGTGCAGGTATATTGTTTTTGGTGTGTACATTGTATGTCTGTGTGTTTTCCTGCATTGTAGTCGCTATTTCTTTTGCCAAAAGGTTGCTTACTGTCAATGTACATGTAGTGAAGTCTGCTATCTCTGACACCTGTGCAGGTTTTGCTGGAGGTTCCATGTGGAAGAAACGACAGTCTAAACAACTGGACATAGAGCTGGAGAAGATGTCGGACAGACAGAGTCAGAGTTATCCCGACTTCAAAGCTACGCCAAGCGGCGACGTCACCAAGTCAGACACGGGATACCACAGACGACCCTCCGCGTAACATCGCGAATAAGCTGGAAGTAGGTGCTGTTCAGGACACGAAATGCTTTATCTGCATGTATTAGGCCACACCAATTTAATTTCTTGGTTAACGGATTCGCCGCTTCATTTTTTTCTGATTTGCAAATAAAAATAAAAATTCAGAATCAACTGCAAAATGTTCATATTTTGCCCTGAACAGTTGAAAACAGTCCTTTCCTTACTACTTGTTACAGTCATTCCATCTTTCAATGCAGTGGTATCATTAAAAGTTCAAAATTCATTGTTTAACTTTAAATTTTGAACCAGCCTGGTATGTTGACTTCATGGCTCCTATCATACCATTTTGGGCCATAATAGGATGCCTAGGCCTGTTTTTATTTTTTATTTTTCGCCCGCCCGCTCCATTTTTTTTCTAGAAAAATCCGTTAACCAAGAAATTAAATTGGTGTGGCCTTACCTACACTTGTGCAGATGACAGTGAAAATTACCTTTACCAGGCAAACTTTATTATAATCATACTAAAAACTCTTCAGAAACCATTGGCATTATTTCTGTTATACTTCATATACATGTAGGTGGTGACAGTCAATGCAGCAAATAAAAATGCTTGTACACCCACACACCTACCATGCATATACAAATGTATATGGTAAACCCAGTACATGGACCGGTACAGGTAGACAAAAATACCCGTACAGCTCTACCTGCATATGAAAGGGGTATTTGGTACCATGCTGTTACTGCACTTGTCCTTTGTACTTATGTCTTCTTTTTGTTGTCATTTTTTGTACAAAAAGGTGGGATATTTTTGTTTGATTTGCAGATATTTGCACCAGGAAATGGAGCTGAAGAGCAATCAGAGATGGCAGACTTTGCCCCCTCACCAATGCTGCTTTTCCTGACAAGGACACCAAGGGACAGATAAGCACATTTCAAAATTTCTGGCTACTACCTACTTGTGTATTATTACCATTGTATACTCCTGAATGTTCCAACTATATTTAACATCATTTAAGAGAAATGTGAGAAAGAACATTTTGCATCATGTACATGTATATGTGTATTGTATAAAAGGGCAAACATACATGTATGTGCCTCTACCATGCAATATATATTACCCTCTATTTGCAGTGTACAGGTTATATAGGTGTGCCATACTATTTTCGTTACAAGTTGTAAGAGGCAACAATTTTGAGGCATGTAAATGCAAGGCATTTCTAAGAGAATTGAGTATCATATTTAGAATGATTGTTCAGATAAGCATTTGCATGGAAATTTGGGCATCATGCATTGAATAAATGTATGATGAAAATACTTGATCTGTTACACCAAGTATGTATATTCTGAGGTAATTTGAAACAGTGTGTAATATCTTAAAACTGTGAAAAATTTGAACTGTTACTTCTAAAATGGATGGTTTACAAACTGTATGTGTCTCTGTATGTTGTTGCATTGAAGCTTAAGGGCTCTCCAATCTTTTGTAAACATTTAAAATGTTTTATGAAATATTGTTGATAAAAACAATATTCATTTCAGGTACTTAATGAAATGTACATTTGAAGCTTTCAAGACATACATGACTTGTATTACTAAATGTACATTGTATGTGTAGTATATATAGGTAATATCACAGTTGAAATTGCAATAAATAAATAAATGTTCTTGCAACATTGTCCTAAAAATTTGTAGATCTCATCAAATTCACTGTTTTTACAAAAATGTATTTATTTTGGCTATCTTAGGCCACACCAATTTAATTTGTTGGTTCTCGGATTTTTTCAGAAAAAATATGAAGCGACAGGGCGAAAAAAAATAAAAATAAAAACAAGGTCTAGGCATCCTATTATAGGCTTAAATGGTACGAAATGAGCCATGAAGTCAACACAAAAGGCTGGGTTAAAATTTAAACATTGAATTTTGAACTTTTAATCAAACCACTGCAATGATAGATGGGAAAACTGTAACAACTAGGAAGAAAAGGACTTTCCTCAACTGTTGGGGGGCAAAATATGAGCATTTTTCACTTGATTCAGAAAAAGAATCAAATTTTTTTTTTTTGCAAATCAGAAAAAAACAAAGAGGCGAATCCGAGAACCAACAAATTAAATTGGTGTGGCCTTATAATCACATTTAAACAAGTATCACATATCCTGCCAGCTTGCTTGAAATGTGGACATTTGTATGTATGTCTTTCTAAAGTAAATGCCCACATCCTGGAGTCAGGAATTATGAAATTTACACTATGATGACATTCCCTTTCATGACTATTTATATACAACTTTGGTCTGAGAACTTCACCATCTGATGTACAAGTACAGTAGTTGTTATTCAGTAATAGACGACAGCCCTACAAGATGTGGTTCCTCCATGTGCTCGTGGTGACCGCAGTTCTTCAGTGGTCAGTAGTGACCGGGGAAGGCCAGGCTGACCAGTTGACCCTGTCACTGTGCAGGGTTTGGGAGGAGTGTTTGGAGAAAGGTTAGTGCATTTTGTATGTGTTTAACAGTTACATGTATAATGTTACGAGAAATCTGTGTGCTAAAAAGTTTACCATATGGAACACCCAAATGGGCAAATTGGATACAATTTGGTTTTACAGCCAGATAGTAGCTACCATCTTCTTTCTACTTCTTCACTATCTTTGTATATAATGTCGAGTTCCATGCAACAGGAAAAATTCTTTTTAGAAAATAGACAAAAACCAAACTATAGACTCTGAGATATATGCATGTTGCCATATGGAGATTGTTTAATGAATATGCACAGGAAAAATGCCTTAAATACAGTAAAAAAAGTAGGACCCGATGTGTTGATAGCACAGAAACTATATTCTAAAATGCAATGTCGACACTTCACATCATTCATTCATTATGTGACAATGAAACTCCTTTGCATGAGGCTTTATCATTGGATCGTATACAAATGAATGTATGTAGGGTGAATTGATCAAGTTTGGAATTACTCCATTCCAGCTACTGAGAACAACTTGGAGAACTCTGAGCTGGGAACTCCCGAGGCGATCTGTGGTGACTTTCTGGACATGTTAGAGAAGCATGGCGTGGATTGTGGTAAGTAGAACCACATAGACTACATTATGTATGGCATACATTTGTGTAGTGTATAACATAAGACACTGACAGTCATCATTGACTCCTAAGGACTACCAAGGTAACATACATTTTGTACTTGATTCAGTAAATTGTATGATATTCAACGTGACACACTATTTAGAACAATCCACTTAGACAAACTGTATAAACGAAGGTAGAACAAAGACAGAGGTATTCAGTCATCTCATGTCCACCAGTAATGACCATACAATAGAAAAACTATAATGTGAATTTATCTCCAATTGCTTTAAAAGGAGAGAAGAAATCTTCAAGGCCTAGATTAGTTCTCTGACTAGTAGTTATTCTGTTAGCCTTGTATCCTATGTATCATGTTACTCAGTATGATGTAATGTTACATGTAGCATCAAACTCTGATGCTACATGCTACATTTAGCCTCATTGGCATGAACATGCAATTAAAGATTCATTAAAAAAACATATAAGACGTAACACTGCACTCAACAGTGAAACCAATTCTCTATCGACAGTAGAAAGGAGTCGTAGAATAAAAAGATAATAAAAGGTAGCCAATGCCTACTGCGTAATCAATGTCCTGATGCAGAATTCTATGCCACATTCATTTCAAGTCACACTGACTGTAATGTCACAAACAGAGGAAGTTTATGTGCCAATCTATTTATTTACATACAGGAACCTTGGACAACCCTGAAGAGACAGCTGATGTTGGACAGGAGCTTTCCTCACTAGAACCCCTTCCTAATGATCAGGAACAGCAACAAGGTGAACTGCTTAACATTGCAAATTTGAATAACAGGAAAAAATGACACAATGAAAATTGATCAATTGGTTTCTAAATGACCAAATACAGCCATACTGCAACTATGTAGTAGAAAACTTCAGATAAGTTGTGGTGGTGTGGTGCAAAAGTTTTAGTGTGTTGTATTGTTATATAGTAGGTTGCATTGAGTTGTACTAAGACAACAATGTATATGTAGCTGTTACAAGTTTTATGCTGAATGTTTGTACACACAGAGTCTGTACCGATTCCTGGTGATGAAGAAGAGACAAACAGAGAAGAACATGGACACAAGCAACTCCTGCCACAAAACCATCCAGCCAGCACTGACGACCTTTGGCGGACAACCTATTTTGATGACTGTTCTGAGATTTATACTGCTCAGGACATGTTTGGTTCGCCATCTAGTGGGGTATTTCCTATCAAACCTTTACATGTTAACAACCCAGTTTCTGTATACTGTGATCAGACCACAGCTGGGGGAGGGTGGACGGTCATACAGAGGAGGTTTGACGGGTCCCTCGAGTTTTTCCGTCGTTTTAATGCTTATCGAGATGGGTTTGGAGACTCTAGTGGTGAGCATTGGTTAGGGTTAGACAACATCTACCGTATCACGGCCCAGAACGCGTACGAGTTGTACGTAGAGCTGGAAGACTGGTCTGAGAATGTGAAGTTTGCTCGATACTCCAGGTTTTCAGTTGGTCCGGGTAGTGATTACATCCTGAGTGTGGGAGGGTACAGTGGGACGGCTGGGGATGGGTTCTATCTGTCATTGACAGGTTCATCAAGTAACAACAATGGTAGGAAGTTCAGCACCCGTCTTAATGACCGTGACACGTACTCAGGTTCAATGGCAGAATACTACGGTGGTGGCTGGTGGTACGGTTACAGCAGCCGCAGTAGCCTGAACGGTCCGTACTTCCGAGACACTGACGTGTTCAATATCAACAATGGTTTTGGTGTCCAATGGTATCCTTTCAACAGTATCCTATACTATTCTCTAAAGAAGACCAAAATGATGGTCCGTCCCACTGACTTCAGTGCAAGGGTTGCAAACCTGGGGCTAGGGAAGAAGTAAAATCACAAACATAACCTTCTAGGGAGAAGGTATCAGTGGTTTGAGTTATACATGACTGTGTGCAAAATGGATTCACTTCAATAGAACCCACTCTCACAAAACATACATTAAAGTTGCAAAACAAAGATTTTGTATTCTTGATGATGTTTCTTGTATATGGTCTTCAATCGCAAGATAAATGCATATATTTGGTGTATAGGGTGGCACCATCTCTATTTCTATAGCCCTTGGTCCACACATTCATACTTCACCAGGGCCTTTATTTACATTGTCATTTACATTCCTAGCTGTCTAAAGCAATGCAAGATCTTGGCAACCACATACCCTCCCAAATAGGGCATGCCTGTCTTGCCTGATTGCTTGAGTCACATCGCACATCACGTATATTAGCATAATCAGCCAGTGCTATCTCCTTTGATTATGTAGTTGCACATCATTCAATCTGTATTCGTCCAAAATGTAGGTAGGAATTCTACACTTTACTGTATGACAGCATACCCCACAAAACTATTTATACACCAGTTGCATGGGAACTTCACCACCTGGTGATCTGATAAACATCATGTACATTTGTACAGTAGTTGTTATTCACTCAGACAGCAGCCCTACAAGATGTGGTTCCTCCGTGTGTTTGTGGTGACCGCAGTTCTACAGTGGTCAATAGTGACCGGGGAAGGCCAGACTGACCAGTTCACCCCGTCACTGTGCAGGGTTTGGGAGGAGTGTTTGGAGACAGGTGGGTATGAGTAAAATGGTAGGAGAAACTGGTGTAAAAGACGTACCATATGGAACATGTATGGACTTTGATAATTGTTACATTACCTTATGGAGCTTGTATTACATTAGGTGTTTTAAACAAAGGACTTGGTTTACCTTTGCATGCTGCCTATTTTATCAATTCTATGTATTGATAACTGAGTAAGACCCTTTTTATTCATGCATGTACTACTTTATTCACTATATGTACTGCAGGATTAACAGCTCTTCCCATGACACCTCTGTGTAGAATACATTTAATTTAATGTTTAAATTTCTCCCTTCCAGCTATGGTGAATGACTTGGAGAACTCTGAACTGGGAACTCCTGAGGCGATCTGTGGTGACTTTCTGGACATGTTAGAGAAGCATGGCGTGGACTGTGGTAAGTCAAACCACCCTGACTACATTATGTATGGCATAGTGTATAACTGTAACAGTTACAAATTGCAATTTGTAACAAAGATATATCACGGCATGCAGACTAATATGCTATTGACGCAGTAGAAAATTAAAAGTAGCTTGCCTAATTATGTATTTAAATTGTTAACACCACTTCAATTATATGACAACGACCTGATAGGACATTACCACAAATAGAAGGAATTTATGTGTTAATTTTATTCCCTAGGAACCTTGCTGTACCCTGAAGAAGAGACAGCTGGAGTTGAACAGCTGCTGTCCTCACTAGAGCCTCTTCCAGGTGATGAGCAGCAGCAACAAGGTGAGCTGCTTGCTAAATGTGGAAATTTGAAAAACATCTGATAAAAATTTACACTATAGGAAATTGATCTATTTGGTTGTGAAAAGACCATACAGTCACACTGCAACAGTAGCAGAAAACTATACATTTAAGGTCAACAAAACTAATATAGGTTTCAGTATGTTGTACTAAGACTGCAGAAAGCTGTAGCTGAAACTTTGTCATGTCATTTGTTTACAGAGTCTTCCTCGACTCCTAGCGATGGAGACGAGACAAACAAAGGAGAAGGAGGCTACAAGCAACTCCTACCACACAACCCTCCGGCCAACACTGACGACCTTTTACGATCAACCCATTTTGACGACTGCTCTGAGTGGTACACTGCTCAGTCAATTTTTGGTTCAATAGCTAGTGGGGTGTTTTCTATCAAACCTGCACATGTTAATGACCCAATCTCTGTATACTGTGATCAGACCACAGAAGGGGGAGGGTGGACAGTCATACAGAGGAGGTTTGACGGGTCTCTCGAGTTTTTCCGTCGTTTCAATGCTTATCAAGATGGATTTGGAGACTCTAGCAGTGAGTATTGGCTTGGGTTAGACAACATCTATCGTATCACAGCCCAGAACGCGTATGAGTTGTACATAGAGCTGGAAGACTGGTCTGGGAATGTGAAGTTTGCTCGATACTCCAGCTTCTCAGTCGGTCCGGGTAGTGATTACACCCTGAGTGTGGGAGGGTACAGTGGGACAGCTGGGGATGGGTTCTGTCTGTCTTTTTCAAGTACCAACAATGGTATGAAGTTCAGCACCCGTTTGCATGACCGAGACACAAGCTCACTTTCAACGGGAGAATTTTACGGTGGTGGCTGGTGGTTTGGTAGCAGCAGCCTCAGTGACCTGAATGGTCCGTACTTCCGTGACACTGATGGGTTCAATGACAACAATGGTTATGGCGTCTATTGGGCTCCTTTCACAGGTGACCTTTTCTATTCTCTAAAGAAGACCAAAATGATGGTCCGTCCCACCGACTTCAGTACAAGGGTGGCAAACATGAGGCAAGGGAAGAAGTAAAATACCCAAAGTCACTACCTATCAGTGGTTTGAGTTTGATTTACTCTGTAGAAAACACTCTCACAAAACATACATTAAAGTTGCCGAACAAAGTTTTTTTTATATTCTTGTTGAATGTTTCTTGGTCTTGTGTTGAATGTTAGAATCATCCCACACCTTTTGGTGTATAAGGTGTCACCCATCTCTAATTCTATAGCCCTTGGCCAGGGCCTTTTTGTAACATTGCTATAGCTGTCCAAAGCAAAACAAGATCTTGGTTTACTACATTCCCCAGTAGGACTTGTCTGTCTTGCCTACTTGGGCCACATCAAATGTATTAGCATGATCATTCATTTCTGTCTAAGTGACTTCTTCTATAATTTGATCATGACATTATTCAAATGGTACTTGTCCAAAAAGTCAGCAGGGATTCTAAATTTCCCTGTATTACAGCAAACCATACAAAACTATTCGTAAAATTGAGGGATTCTAAACTAAACCGTATGACAATATATCCGTGCTGTATACAGTACAGTATTTATGATAATCATCCATTGCTATCTAAGTTGCCCCTTGATTATGAAGATTGCATCATTCAATCGATCTCTGTTATTCTAAATAAAATGTATTGAATTCTAAACTTTACTATATGACAGCGTACCCTACAAAACTATTTATACACCAGTTGCATGGGAACTTCACCACCTGGTGAACAGTACATTTGTATAGTAGTTGTTATTCACTTATAGACAGCAGCCCTACAAGATGTGGTTCCTCTTTGTGCTTGTGGTGACCACAGTTCTCCAGTGGTCAGTAGTGACCGGGGAAGGCCAGACTGACCAGTTCACCCTGTCACTGTGCAGGGTTTGGGAGGAGTGCATTGAGACAGGTTAGTATGTTTTATAATCTTATACAAGAAATCTTTGTGCTCAAAAGATTACCATATGGAACATTCATATGGGCTTAAATTAAGAAGGTAAAAATGATACAACTTGGTTTCGCAGGCCAGATATCAGCTGCCATCTTCTTTCTACGACTTCTTGCTATGTTTCTATTTGATATCCACATCTTTTTTAGAAAATAGATCACAAATAAAGTGTGCAGAGATATGTACTGTATGTTACCATATGGAGATTGTTTGACATATAAGTGTATATGCATATAAGAGTATGCCTTACGCAAAGTCCACCTTGGTTGGACTTTGTTGTGTAGGAGATAGGACAAAACTACACCTACATTCAAAACTACATTATTGATACCGGAGTAGATGTGCCTCTAGTTCATTCATAAGGCATTAGTATTGTGTAAACAAACTTCTCTGCATTGATACTCTATTGTCAGTTAATGCAGGACTAGCTACTGAGAACAACCTGGAGAACTCTGAGCTGGGAACTACTCAGGCGATCTGTGGTGACTTTCTGGACATGTTAGAGAAGCATGGCGTGGACTGTGGTAAGTAGACTTACACCCCATGCTTTGTACTACATAAAGAGGGTACTTTTCATAACTTATAATTGTCCCGGATCAGAGAAAGATGCTATAATTGCAAAATAGATGCCACAACATGCAGGCCAGTATTCTATTGACAGAGCTTAAGTTAAGAAAAGTTGTATTGAGGTCACCTGATGGCGCCAAATGGTAGCTGCACAGACCCTTGTGACATTTCCACAAAAGTGTGTGGAGCAAATATGTTATGTATTGTGATTGTAAACCCTGCATCGATTCAACATTATAAAAGGCTGCAATTGCACGGGTAAGGTTTGACCAACGAATCATTTTTAATGAAAACAAGATGGGTAGTATACAAATGGTTTAATGACAAGTAGTACGTATTTAATGTTCAAAACAGTCAGATAGGCCAGTACTTGCACACCAGTAGTGTGACTGTTAAATCTGGGATCTTCGATTCACACCTCATTTATTCAGTAAAATCACCTTTATTGCATATACTGTATGGATGCCACATTATGTAGTTTATGTGTTGGCCTTATTCCCTAGGAACCTTGCAGGGCCCTGAAGAAGAAACAGCTGGAGTTGGACAGCTGCTGTCCTCAGAACAGGCTCATCCTGGTGATGAGGAACAGCAACAAGGTGAGATGCTTGCTTGCTTCACTGAAAATTTGAAAATCACAGAGATAAGAATTGTCACACTAGGGAATTGATCAATTTGGTTTTGATAGGACCATAATGCAACTATAGTAGAAAACTGTACAACAAAAGTAATATTATAATAGTAGATTACTAGTAGTTACTAGTACATTAATTTGTACAAAGACCACAAGGTATATATAGCTGTAAAATGTCTTAAGCTGTATGCCTTGTCATTGGTCACAGCGTCTCTACCAAATCCTGGCAATGAAGAAGAGGCACAGAACGGAGAACCAGGCTACAAGCAACACCTTCCACCCAGAAACCCGAGCAACACTGTCAACCTTTGGCGAGAAAACCATTTTGAAGACTGCTCTGAGATTCATACTGCTCAGGCCATGTTTGGTTCTATAGCCAGCGGGGTGTTTTCTGTCAAACCAGTTACTGTACATGCTCGCGACCCAATCTCTGTATACTGTGATCAGACCACAGATGGGGGAGGGTGGACGGTCATACAGAGGAGGTTTGACGGGTCCCTTGAGTTTTTCCGAGAGATTGGTGCTTATCACTATGGGTTTGGGGACTCCACTGGCGAATACTGGCTGGGGTTAAACAACATCTACCATATCACAGCCCAGAATGCGTACGAGTTGTACATAGAGCTGGAAGACTGGTCTGGGAATGTGAAGTTTGCTCGATACTCCAGCTTCTCAGTCGGTCCGGCTAGTGATTACACACTGATTGTTGGGGGGTACAGTGGGACAGCAGGGGATGGGTTCTATCTGTCGAGTTCATCATATACCAATATGAAGTTCAGCACCCGTTGGTATGACCAAGACACTGACTCCTCATGTTCACTGGCAGAAAAGTTTGGTGGTGGCTGGTGGTACGGTAGCGGCAGCCGCAGTAACCTGAACGGACCGTACTTCCATGAAATCGACGGCTTCAATATTAATGGCAACAATGGTTATGGCATCTTGTGGTTTCCTTTCAATGGTAACCCTTACTATTCTCTAAAGAAGACCAAAATGATGGTCCGTCCTGCCGACTTCAGCGCCAGGGTGGCAAACATGAGGCTAGAAAACAAGTAAAATCCTAAAAGTAAATACATGTAGCTATCAGTGGCTTTTGTTATACATGTATGTGCAAAATGGATTCACTTTTTATTAATAGAAACTGCTCTCACAAAACATACATTAAAGTTGATAAACAAAGTTTTTTGGAGTCTTGATGAATGTTTCTTGAAAATCACAATCATGGAGTATAGGGTGGTACCCGTGTCTATTTCTATGCCCCTTGGCCCACGCTGTTGTCTTCAATGCCCATATATAAATGACCAGGGCCTTTTTGTAACATTAATTCGTAGTTGTCTAAAGCAATGCAAGATCTTGGCAACCACATACCCTCCCAAATAGGGCATGTTTGTCTTGCCTGATTGCTTGAGTCACATCGCAAAAGTACACACGTATATTACCATATTCATCCAGTGCTATCTCCTTTGATTATGTTGTTGCACATCATTCAATCTGTATTCAAAATGTAGGTAGGGATTCTACACTTTACTGTATGACAGCATACCCCACAAAACTATTTATACACCAGTTGCGTGGGAACTTCACCACCTGGTGAATATGTACATTTGTACAGTAGTTATTACTTGTATGTACTTGTGGTACAGTGGTCAGTAGTGACCGGGGAAGGCCAGACTGACCAGTTCACCCTGTCACTGTGCAGGGTTTGGGAGGAGTGTTTGCAGACAGGTGAGTATGAGCTATCATGTGATACAAAAGGAGGTAAAAAGATTACCACATGGCACGAGCCCTCATTGGTACAATTTCATTTCACACCTTTTTAAGGTCAGATATTAGCTGCCATCTTCTTTCTACCTGTTTATTCTTTCTATCATTCTACATCATATTCAATATCATATCACATTACACGTACAAATCTTTCTTTAACAAATAGCAAAAACTATGCAGTATATATGGAGTCGTGTATACCATATGGAGATTGTTACTTGATTATGCCCAGGGAAGAATGTCAATGTAGGTCCAAATATTGGACGTTGTTACGTCGGTGAAGGTTAGACATCCAAGTAATAAGATGTATGCCAAAAAAACAGTAACTGTTACTCAAGCAACTGGATATGATTTTGGAAACGGTCATACTTGACCATTTCTAAAATCAAACCCAGTTGCTTGAGTAACTGTTTTTTGTCGTGTTGGACTTTGTTTAATTATAAACAGCAAATGACAGAGGGACAGTTGTGCTGTCTTGAGTTCCAATGTATGAGACATTAAACCTGATTTTATTTCTCCCTTCTAGCTATAGAGAACAACTTGGAGCACTCTGAGCTGGGAACTCATGAGGCGATCTGTGGTGACTTTCTGAACATGTTAGAGAAGCATGGCGTGGTTTTTGGTAAGTAGATCTACACATCTTGCTTTTGATTACATGTAATGAATTGAATGATACAGCATACTATTAGTGTATAACTGTAACAGGTACTATAGCAAGTAACAGAGATATCACAACATGTCAGGACCTACCGGTACATGTACATGTATATTCTATAGACACAATCTCCAAGCAGATCGAAAAAGGAGTCCAGTCCGATCAGCGGAAAAAGCAGTCCAGTCCGATTTGGGATGGAAAAAGCAGTCCGGTGGTTTCTGTGTGTAGCAGCGCCGCCTTGCGATATACGATAAAAGTGCAAGCAGTCTGGTGTGTTACCGCATGTCACGATGTGAAGCGCACTCATTGGACACTGAGCTATGCAAATGCCAACAACTCCCTGCTTTTTCTGCCGATCGGACTGGACTCCTTTTTTCCACCAACCCTTGAAGGACTGCCATTTGATATTTGATGATCTGGAAGTGACCTGAAGATTTCAGGCGCAAGACTAATGTCTCAGACTGACAGATGCCTGGGGCAACCATCGGGCGTGCGTTAGAACTTTACCTATTGATGCTATATGATCTTGTTCAGAGGGTATAGAATATGCAATAACATACTAGTTGAAACAACTTGTCTGGTCGAAAGAGATGTATGAATGCAAAGATATGCCGTTCTCCTAAGTGAGGAAACATGGATCACTTTGATCTTTGTATTAATGAGCGGGGAACTGATCTTTTGAACTGCAATCCACACATCATCGAGTTCGACTGACTCAGGCTATTGTCTGAGATTGACAGGATCTATTTTACATTTCGTGTCATTCGGAATGCTTGAGCATCAAGTACCTGTCTCTGCCCTCCCGGAGGCTACTAACTCAATCACAAAGAGTGATGTAATTTTTGACCAATGAGAGTTCGCGACGTCTTTGCCACTCCCATTCCAAGGGGCGTTGTTGGAATGCAATGCGTAACCTGTACATAGGAGTCTGTCTGGGCAACAAGTCTTTCATTGGGCGGAAGTGGTTCTGTACCGAGGCAGGACCGTTTGAGAGCTAAGATTGCTCTTCATTGTCACAGACAGGTAGGAATTTGAACTTTTCCAAGTTCTTTTTCAAAACTTCTGGATCTTTCAGAAATTTGTCCTCGGTCAATCTTAATATGGTTAATACCAAGTTCGTGTACAAAACGTAGATGAAGTATAGGCCACTGATTTTTTTCCCACAAGGTAGCCTGGCATGCCCAAGATTGTAGGTAATACTTTAAGAAACCCTGGCCCGGTTTACACTTGCATCGTTTATATGTGTTGGGTGTAAAACGATGCGCGTGCCAGCTGTGCGTTATGTGCGACAGATTTTTTTAGCGTGTAAACAACCTGCGCCACCGCCGTGCGGTGCCACACATCATTTTTTTGTGGCACATCCAGGAGGTGCCACAGGAACACCGCCGCGCGTGTCGTTTTACGTCCAACACATATAAATGATGCAAGTGTAAACCGGGCCCGTGTGGAGCCACGCAGATTTTATAGCGACCTCAGTCCGACTAAGAAATCGTCAGCTATCCATAGTTTTTGATTAGTGACTGCTTCATTAGTGCAATGTACATGTATATTGTCTAATCTAAGCGATAAGAATACTACTTAAAACAGTTTCTATAGACTTCATAGTGGATCGATGTTTGAAGTCTTGGGCCGCTTCTAATTGTTGGCTGCCTGTATTATTCTGAGACATGTACAATGTATCTTAGAAGTTTCTGTCAGTCAATTCTTATATATATATATAGCATTACCAATAGTGCTCTGCTATGAAACACTGCGACCATGAAATTTACCTGACGACATGTGCACACTCCTGGTTACCAAAATTTGGCCCTTTAGCAATGCTAGATCTGTCCATTTCTGAGTGGTGAAGTACCTGAACACAGAAGAACGCGTGGATCTGTAGGAAATCTAAACGTGCACAGTAATCTTCTCTTACTTTTGGTAACGTCACTTGGTTTGGTACACGATTCGCCTGTTTTAAATTGGGTACACAAAGTAACATTTGTGTGGGAAGACAGTTTTGTTGTTTGAGAGACGTGTCTATGACGTAGCCTCCACCGGACTAACAACAAACTTTATATCTTTGCATTAGTTATGTACTACGTACTTATTTTCTTTACGGTTACTTGTATTGGTCCACTAACAGACTTACATCAGATATACTCTGATGGAGTTAGAGTGCAAGATTTAGACAATTGACAGAAATTGTAGACAGAAAAAAAATTCTGTCAAGGTGTTTGTTGAATCACTGCCAAAACCTCTCTGACTTTAATGAGCAGGAATTTGACTTTTGAATCTTACATTCGCGCATCATCAATTTGTCTATTGTCTGTTTCAGACATTGCCTTAGGGCTGCAATTGGTCCTGGCTTTTAGCTAGGATTTTTTTGTCGGGTGTCCATTTTTTTAATTGTATGCTATGTGCAGCAAAGACTTGAGGTATGCGAGCTTTTTAGGGGGCTCTCATAATGCTCGCAAACACTACTTTCTGCAGTTTGAGGTGCAAATTTTGTCAGGAATTTGAGTTTTTTTCCTTCAGCAAACCATCATTTTTGTATTTTTAGTAAGGCTGAAGGGAGGCATGTGAAAAAATAGGGTGTCTTTAGGGTGACCTACCAAAAAGTAGGGCGTCCAATTTATTTTCAGTACAGGGCGTCCAAAAGGTCCCTGGACACCCCTTAGCTAAAAGCCTGCATTAGTAAAATATGTACTTAATAGATTTCTTTACGGTTACTTGTATCGGTAACAGACTTACATCTATACTCTGACGGAGTTAGAGGGCAAGATGTTAAGACAATTGACAGAAATTGTAGACAGAAAAAAAATTCTGTCGAGAATCACTGCCAAAACCTCTCTGACTTAAATTAATAATGAGCAGGAATTTGACTTTTGAATCTTAAACTCGCGCATCATCAATTTGTCTATTGTCTGTTTCAGACATTGCCTTAGGGCTGCATGGTCCTGGCTTTGAGCTAGGATTTTTTTGTCGGGTGTCCATTTTTTTAATTGTATGCTATGTGCAGCAAAGACTTGAGGTATGCAAGCTTTTTAGGGGGCTCTCATAATGCTCGCAAACACTACTTTCTGCAGTTTGAGGTGCAAATTTTGTCAGGAATTTGAGTTTTTGTCCTTCAGTAAACCATCATTTTTGTATTTATATTAAGGCTGAAGGGAGGCATGTGTGCATGGCAGGGGCTGGGAGTGGAAAAAATAGGGCATCTTTAGGGTGTCGGGCGTCCAATTTATTTTCAGTACTGGGCGTCCAAAAGACCCCTGGACAGTCCCCCTAGCTAAAAGCCTGCATTTAGTTAATATGTTCTTAGATTTCTTTACGGTTACTTGTATCAGTCTTAAAGTCCACTAACAAACTTACATCTATACTCTGATGGAGTTAGTAGAGGGCAAAATGTAGACATCTGTCGAGGTGTTTGTTGAATCACCACCAAAACCTCTCTGATCTTTAATGAGCAGGAATTTGACTTTTGAACCTTAAAGTCACCCGTCATCAATTTGTCTATTGTCTGAAACAGACAGATGCCTTAGGAGACAATTAGAGGTGCGTGAGAACTTTACCTACGCCCCTTTTTCCACTTCCCATGTCAGCTCCACCGAGGTGCATGCACGTGGTACTGGTACATGGTTTGCATGCCCGTAGCCAGGGGGGGTTCGGAAAAAAAACCCACAAGGCTCAAAGGTCCACTTTTTGGTCCACTTTTTATGTAAAGGTCCACTTTTTGGTCCACTTTTTATAAAGGTCCAAGATTTTTCTTAAAAAGATAGATTAGAATCGTAGAAAAACTGCTCCCATTGTCATTGAATAAAAATTTATCTCTGATTTTTTCTTTGAAATCCTCTCAAAAATGCACAAAATGCTATTTAGAAGGTTCATTTTTCAAAATTTTACGGGGGAACATGCCCCCGGACCCCCCTAGGAACCTCGAGCCTTCGGCGCTCGAGGTCCCCTCAAGCAGTGGGAAGAACCCCCCCATTCAAAATCCTGGCTACGGGCATGGTTTGTCATATTGGAGTAGAGTTCCAAGATCTCATATCCCCATATGGGCTTGATAAATATTATGTAAATTTCTTCCTTAATTATGCAAATAACCTTAACATTAAGTAACATAATATATGCACCGTGATGTTAACTTTTGATTAACGCAGACATGCCCCAAGTATGAAATTTCCATCATTTACCACGGAGTCATATAATTTTCAGATTAATTATGCAAATTAGGTCCATGATTGGCATTTGCATGATTGGCATCTGTTGATATTCGACCTGCCATAGATTATAAACAGTACATGTATCAAAGTGCCATGATGTGTAATTACAGAATTTCCTCATTAATTATGCAAATGAAGTATCATTTGCATAATTTCCATCCAATAGTGTAGATCACTGACTTTGACCTTGACCTATGCCTACCCAACACCTACCAGCATACCAAATATCATTACAATCTATCCAAAGGTTCAAACGTTATGCTGGCCGCAAATGTGCGAAACACAAACACACACACTGACACACAGACAGACACACAGACAGACACGCCAAAAACAATACCTCCATTTTTCATGGAGGTAATTAATGCTGTAGTCAGGAATTATGAAGTTTGCATTATGATGACAATCCTTTCATAACTATATACAACTTTGGTCTGAGAACTTCATTTGTACTGTTAGTTGTTCTTCACTTATAGGAGTGACCAGCCGTACAAGATGTGGTTCCTCCATGTGTTTGTGGTGACCGCAGTTCTCCAGTGGTCAGTAGTGACCGGGGAAGGCCAGACTGACCAGTTCACCCTGTCACTGTGCAGGGTTTGGGAGGAGTGTTTGGAGACAGGTGAGTATGAGTTTAATAATAAGGTCATTAAATATTGGTTTAAAAAGCATTCCATATGGAACAAACACATGTACAAACTTGAAGCAGAATTGATACATTACTATACGGATGTTGCATCCCAAATTTGCACTTCAAGCAAAGAACTTGTTTGTTTGTTTGTTTGTTTGTTTGTTTGTTAAATTGTATGCTTCATCAATTGAATCCATTTTTAGGCTACATTTTGAAATGTATCATAAATATAGATATAATATAGATAAACAGACAACCTGTTTAGAATAATATGACTTCATTCTCTGTGCATCATAATGAAAACCTATTCCCATGAAAATGTAGGACGTACATTATATTACTCAATGTTTGACTCTCTCCCTTCCAGCTAAGGGCAGTGACTTGGAGCATGCTGAACTGGGAACTCCTGAGGCGATCTGTGGTGACTTTGTGGAAATGTTAAAGAAGCATCGCGTGGATTGTGGCACTTTGACTACATGTATGTATAGGCATGTGTGCATAACAAAATACTTAGTACACTAACAGTCATCTTTGACTCTGAAAGTCATGATCACAACAGTCAACAGTGAAACAAATTTTCTATTTGCACAGTAGAAAGCAGAAAATCAAAACAAATTTCTGTTTTATTTATACAGGGTTTATACAACTGTGTTAAACACACTGCTTTTCAGGGATGTCCTGTGAAGGTAAAATAAAAGATAGCTTGCCTTCTAGGTATTAAAACATTTGATGTCTGGTCCACTGTGCTGAATTTTTTTTAATACATGTACATATTCCAACATGTAATCATAAGACGTGACAGCACACTCAATTTTTTTCAACTCATATTAATGCCGCCACCAACACGAGACAATACAATACTTATTTTCACCTGGGTTAAGTGAGGAAAGTCGTGTTAAGTGCCTTTCCCAAGGGCACAAGATCGGTGGCATGTCAGGACTCAAACCCGGGACCTCTTGGTTCTGATCCCGATTCTGAGCACGCTGCCGCTACGCCACGTGACCCCACAAAAGTGTGAGATTGCTAATAAGCACCGTGAGAACTGTAGGCCACATTTATTTTCATGTCACACAGACTGCATTATCACAAAGAGATTGAAGGAATTGATGTGTAAATCTGTTCTCTTATAGGTACCAAGCACAGCCCAGAAGGGACATGTACAGCCCGAGTTAAACAGGTGAAGTCATCAGTAGAGCCTGAGTCGGGTGATGAGGAACAGCAACAAGGTGAGATGATTACTATTGCAAATTTCAAAAACTTGTACTAAGATGTACTATTAAATTGTACTAAGACAACATTGTATATGTAGCAACAAGGTGAACTATGTATAATTACTATTGCAAATTTCAAAAATGGGAAAAATGACAGGAGGAAATTGATCAATTTGGTTTTGAAAGGACTATAATGAAACTAGTAGAAAACTGTAGATAGTAGGTAAGTAATGTAGTAGGTTAGTTACATTAAGTTGTACTTAAACAACAATGTAATTTTTTTATGTAGCTGTAAAACATCTTAAGATGTAATATATGTCTTGTCGTTTATGACAGCATCTCACCCAAAACCTGGCAATGAAGAAGAGGCACGGAAAAAAGAACTAGGCAACAAGCAACACCTTCCACACAGAAAACCGGCCAATGCTGACAGCCAAGAGACCTATTTTGAGGACTGCTCAGGCATTTATACTGCGGAGGAAATGTTTGATGAAATAGCTAGTGGGGTGTTTTCTATCAAACCTGCCCATGTTAACGACCCGATCTCTGTATACTGTGATCAGACCACAGAAGGGGGAGGGTGGACGGTCATACAGAAGAGGTTTGACGGGTCTCTCGAGTTTTTCCGTCAGTTGGGTGCTTACCGAGATGGGTTTGGGCAACCTAGTGGTGAGCATTGGTTAGGGTTAGGCAACATCTACCGTATCACGGCCCAGAACACGTATGAGTTGTACATAGAGCTTGCAGGCTGGGATGGGAATGTGAAGTTTGCTCGATACTCCAGCTTCTCAGTTGGTCCGGGTAATGATTACATCCTGAGTGTGGATGGGTACAGTGGGACGTCGACAGCAGGGGATGGGTTCTATCTGACAGGTTCATATACCAACAATGGTATGAAGTTCAGCGCCCGTCTTCATGACCAAGACACTTGGTCCTCAGGTTCAAGGGCAGAATACTACGGTCCTGGCTGGTGGTACGGTCTCAACAGCTACAGTAACCTGAACGGTCCGTACTTCCGAGACACTGACGGGTTCAACTCCAACAATGGTTATGGTGTCTACTGGTTTCCTTTTAGTGAAATATATGGCCCTCCCTTCATGTATTCTCTGAAGAAGACCAAAATGATGATCCGCCCCACCGACTTCAGCACCAGGGTGGCAAACATGAGGCAAGGGAAGAAATAAAATCCCAAAAGACCTAAATTTCTGCACCAGTACCACCAGCCACTCATCAGAAAATTTCATCTTCACATACAAAACACAATTGTTATTCTGTAAGGTTAGTGCAGTTTTTACAGTTCAAGCCCTATGTTACCACAGCCCTTATAATGTTACGACAGCCATAATGTTATGACAGCCCTATGTCATGTAACGCAGGAGCAGGGAATAGAAACTCAGAAAAACTCGGATGTTGATTCACGGGCAGGGATCGAACCCGCGCCGCTCACGCGGTGTGCCACTTGACGCTCCCAACAATCCGTCCAGAACCAGCGTTGCAGACCGCTACCCAGTCAGTGACGCCTCACATGAAGCCTACATACAATTCCCACTATTTACATATTTACACTATTTACACTCGGTGTTACAGTTACGACGCACATATGTTAGAACACACCTATGTTACGATGCACCTATGTTACGACACACCTATGGCTATATTCCCGACAAAATGATTATTGGTGAATGCAATGGAAAGGCATTGTATATTTGTTTAATCGAAGAAACAATTATACAAGAACAAATTGGTACATTTAACATAGATCTGTACCAATAAAGTAACAGTACACATATACAACATTTTGTGAAAAAAAACCTTTTCTTTATGCCTTGTTGACAATTGAAAGAGCTCAAGATTTAGCCTAAAAATCTCGAGCTTTTTTGTCAAATCTTGGGGTCTTTGGAGGAAAACTTGAGATATTTCATAAAATTTTAACATAAGATGCTGTATAAAGACCTCAAGATGCTTTACAATAAACCACTACAAAATCTTAAAAACTAATTGTCCATAATTTTTTTCATTTCGGAATTTTTCCCAAAAAAATCTCGGATTTCTTGAAAAAAAGACGAGACATGGTTCTATGGTCGAAGCAGATGAAGAAAGTGATCATTATCGAGCTTACAGTCCCATGGGAGGAAAGAGTAGAAGAGGTACATGAGAGGAGGTAAACATTAAGGTTAACCCGCCAAAGTGTTGATTTCAAACTCATGTTTTATCTTACATAATATGTTGTTTTGTACAAGAGATCCTTCGGGAGTGTTCAGGTAAACCCGCCACAAAGTGTTGATTTCAAACTTATGTTTTATCTTACATAATATGTTGTTTTGTACAAGAGATCCTTCGGGAGTGTTCAGGTTAACCCGCCAAAGTGTTGATTTCAAACTCATGTTTTATCTTACATAATATGTTGTTTTGTACAAGAGATCCTTCGGGAGTGTTCAGGTTAACCCGCCAAAGTGTTGATTTCAAACTCATGTTTTATCTTACATAATATGTTGTTTTGTACAAGAGATCCTTCGGGAGTGTTAAGGTAAACCCGCCAAAGTGTTGATTTCAAACTGACCTTCATTCCAGGTTTGAGTGGGGTTTGTGTTAGTTTGTTTGACACTGTTTGGGATACATCTTTTAAATGATACGTGTATTTTTGTATGGATCGAGGCAAAACATTATAGGCTGTCGTAACATAGGGCTGTCGTAACATAGGGCTGTCGTAACATAGGGCTGTCGTAACATAGGGCTGACCCCAGTTCAGCTCCATACCACCAGCCACTCCTCAGAAAACTTAAATCTTCACACGCAAGCAAGCTTCATGGCAATAATCTAGTTACTGTGGTAACGTTATATAATAAATTATACAAAGCCTGCAATAGCCAGAATTAACTTGCAAAACCATCTACATGTATGTGTAAACCAATAGATCGGGGATATTTGTATGTTCTTATACAAAACAATTATGAAGTCTGTAGTTTTCATTCCATGGTGCTGTTTTGCTTCATACAATATTAAGTAAGTCTATCTTATATAATACGGACATTAATCATTAATAATCTTTTAACCAGGAGAGGGCAACATGATGTATTCTTTGGGAAGCACAAGTTTTAGGCTACAGTTTTTATACAGAGAATGTATTTGCAAAAATACAATTGCTGTATTGATGAACATTTTGTCTCTTGGCCTTTGACTGACTCTGTCACTCTAGAGCTAATGCTACCTTTAATATTTAGGCATTTTTTAACAGGGTAGTTGATCATTAATCTAGAGGTTCTGGATTCAAATTCATATCATTTAACTGCAATATTGTCCATTCTGGTATATTATAAATGGTCAATATTGCTGGATAGTTGCAACATATCCAAGATGCCTTCCTGTGCAGAATATAGAAATAGAAACCTACTTTTATTATAGTATGATAGCCTATAAATGCGTCGATAGAAAATCTACAAGTAGAAATTTGGAAGGTGAATTGTCTTGTTTTCCTAGCTTCCATTTTCTGTAAACCGCCTCTGTAATTTAGTTGCAGACAGTTTGTAACAGAAACTAGGAAGCTAGGAAAACGTTCTGACTTAGCCTCCCGACATCTGCTTGGAGATTAGATATAACCAACGTTAAACATGGCGGAGATAGAACGAAGGCGCGTGTACAAGAAAGTCGGCCTGGAGCAGAGGAGTACACTTCAAAGTTATCATAATTCCACAAGATAGTGGTAATGAGGAAACGTCAGACATAAATTCTGTCAAACAAAGTGTGAAACCAGCGTAAATTTGCCGTAACGCATCAAAGATGGCGGAGTGACAGTATACAATGTATTATTGTCAGGTTGCTGTTTAGATATAGGTGCAAAACTTTTTTTTAATGGTTAGATTTACAAAAACTCTGCAGTATGGTGTGTAAAATGAGTCAATCTTTGTATCCATACATGTATTTGATAAATAGAATTAAACCTAAGAAGTAGAGGAACGAAATTTAGTTCAACAATAAAATATTTTTCTTTTCCCCATAAACGCGAGAATTTCAATAACTTGTGGCTTATTATTTTACTTTAAATCTACAGAAAATAAAACAATCAGTTTTCGGCCTGTAAACCCTTGGGAAAAAGTCATAATATGATTTTTTCTGTGAAAAGTTTAAACCCCCTTACGGGTCTCCGAGTTTTGGCCATTCCCAAATCGCCGGAATCCGCGAGTGGGCTAAATCTTCTTAACTGTTACAGGTGGTCCCGATTTCTCACTTCCGGGTTTGAACCGCCGAAATTAGGGTCTCTTGGGGGTTACCAATATTACTTGTTTGAAACACAAATGTTTATTTTTCTAGAAAACGCTAAGTGTTTTTTATAACTTTTCAACGGCCCTGTCGTACGTTTTATATTATCTACAAACCCCACCGAAAAGAAACGCCGTACGTTGAAGTTTTTGTCGTATTTTTCGGTGAGTTCACGGTCTCCTAGTTTGCAGAACGCACAATTTTCTGAGAAACGAGTGGAGAAGCCGCGGCAACAGGAAATGGCTATTCTCACAGTACAGTAGTTCGTATCGCAGAATACAACAAAAATTGAGCCACCTTTGCCATAATTCTTCCTCAAATAACTTAATCTCATGTTACATAAACTTTTTATTTCTTCATTTGAAGAACAAGTGTATATAAGCTGGGTGTCTTCGGCGGGCTGAAAGGCCCCGCGCGGCCAGCGGTTGTTGGTAGCCGGCTCGGCGACGCCGCCCGGTGCCTCGACCGGCGAAAAACAAGAAATTTGCCACCAGAAATTGTGAATAAAATTCCTCTGAGTTAGTAACCTGGATAGTTTCGCGGGGACAGGAGGATTTCTTCTCGGTCAACTAGCGACAACAGCCCGTCGAATCCAACCGGCTGACCGAGAGAAACGCGGCGGAACTGCAGGTGTACTGCACCGAGGGCCGGCTGGATTCTATCCGGCGCTATGGTTGCTAGCGGGCCGAGAAAAACCGGCTCAGGCCCGCGCCCATACTACTGAGTGACTTCTAGCAGGGTTGCTGAATTCTTATGACTTTCATACCCCGTTTTCTGACAGACTTTCATCGCGAAAGGCTTTTTCTACATCATCAGAATCTTGCGGAGTTGTGCTCAAGGGCGAGTAGTGTTGTTCACCGTTCACGGCTCGGTCATCTTGCCGCCGCCGCTTCAACCGTGTACTAGTGGCCGTTCGTAGGGCTACCCTTGACCGTGGAATGCACTAACTAGTCCGTAAACTTCCTAACTGATAGATTAAAAAAAGTTGGACTCAAATACACGAAAACGGATTCCTCTCTTTACCTTGTTGGTAACTTTCAGGCTTACGAAGTTTGTACCAGCATGGTATCCAGTCTACCGTGATACAGACATGCTATCCTCGGGGCGGTAGAGGCTCTTCGCCGCGCCCGGCTTCACTTGGCAACCTGTTGGAGTGCCAAGTCGGCCACCTGTTGTGGGTTTTGCCGCGGTGGTAGTTCAACCGCAGCCGTGCAGAACTCCTGCCGAGTTCGTAGTTACGCCAGGCGGTGGAGAATTCCTAGTCTAGAGCCTCGAAGATAGCCAATTCAATCCACAACAGGACCGGATACCAGGCTGCGAAGTTACACGTTACAAGCTATAGTGTACAGTCAGGGAAGGTGAAGTGCATGGATCAAAAGCGACCCCTAGCAGTCGAATGTAGTACTGCAGCACAATATGCTGGCTACGCTGCTACTGCAGTAATAATCTTTCGCCGCCACGGGGCGCTTTTGATCCATGGCGCTATCAACCAGTGTTTTGGCTGGGATGCTCCTGAAACTGCAGTGATTTTCTTCCGCCGTAAGGGGGCGCTTTTGATCCATGGCCATTTAACGTGTCAGAAACACAGCATGTGACCAAGGACTGAGCAGCTTTGGATTTAAACGATGCGGTAATCATAATTAGAGCACTTTTAGTGTGTTTCTCCCCCGTGAACACGTAAAGTTTATTTCTGTCAGGAAGAGTAATGTTTTCAATTGTTTTTGCTAAATCTTGCTAAATTAAAGGATGACAATGAAAGATTGTAGCCTTCTGAAAGAAATTCACCGAAGAGGGGAGGGGCAGAAGTGAAATATCTCCATATTTATTGATTCATCCAAAGTTTCTCTGACATTAATTCTTCAAATTGTAAGGAACAACTGCAGGACTAGTGACTAGCTCCTTGTTGTAGTCTGGTGCAAGGGCTATAGAAACAGGCACACTAGAAAATTTGTGGGAAGGAAAAGTTAACTAAGTTAAGCTCATAGCCAATGACTACTGCTGATTCCTTCATTTTGTCATTCAAATTCTTGCATCTACGTCATGTATATACCAGAACAGTAGTAATACCTGGTTGTTGAGGGTAGGCAGGGCTGTGGGATCATTTGTCTCATCCCTTCAAGTTGGATTTCATACACAATTTGATATTATCTTCTTGAACAAGGTATGTAACGTTAATGCTTTTATGGTAAGGCCACATAAATTTAATGTGCTGTTTCTCGGATTCGCCCTGTCCATTTTTTTCTGATTTGCAACAACAAAAATTTTTTTTTGTTCTAAGTCAACTCCAAAATGCTTAATGAAAGACATATTTTGGCCCCAACGGTTGAAGAAACACCTTTGTTCAAGTTTTTATCAATGTAACAATGCAATTTTGTTTCATTAAAAGTTCAAAATCTATTGTTTTAATTATAAACCAGCCTGGTATGTTGACTTCATGGCTCATATTGTAACATTTCTAGATATCATGGGGTGCCTTGGCCTGTTTTTTTTTTTCGCCCTGTCACTTCATATTTTTTCTGAAAAAATCTGAGAAGCAACAAATTAAATTGGTGTGACCTAAAATAAGTTTTAGATAGTGAGTGACCCACACACACGTTTGTAGTGAATGTGTCTGCATTTATTTTTGAATGCAAAGATATTCCACATTTAGACTACCACCGATGCTTTCTCTAGGATAGTTCACTTTCTGCTAGCTCATTCTTAGCTCGCTTAAAAAGAGACAACACTGAATAATTTCACTATAGAAAATTTTACAAGATGCAAGAAAACTATGTCAAGTTTAAGAAAGGTATAATATCAACTCTTATAATTCCACCGACTTTTCTTAGAGTCTCACATAAAAAACAGTGAATACAGAGATCTACTATTTAAATGCAGTAAGGCCACAGCAAGTAATTTTTATGGATGACATCAGCGCGCGCATTAATTTTCGCCAGATTTTTTGGGGAAAAAGCGAGAAATTTTGTTGCCTTCTGACAGTGGTCAACATGCCGAAAATGGGCAAAGATGTCTGTTGCCATGGCAGAAGGTGGATGGCAGATAACTATGAAGAGAGGAGACGAGAAAAAGGCTCTGATTTAATGTTTGGTTTCTTACTTTGATGCGGTGATATGTGATGCTGGCTGTGTATATGTGATGTTCCCACTGAATAAAAACCATTTGTACAATCATTATGATTGAGTCAAAATTTCAAAACGTAGGAACCTTGTTTTTTTCGGCCCGCCTTGTTTTTTTTTGCCCGCTCGCATTACCGGTAGATTTGGAGTCTGCGGAGGATGTCATCCATAAAATTTACTTGCTGTGGCCTAAGGTATGCACATTTCTACATGTAGATATTCAGATGTTCAACACATTTTTGAAAAGGCCTTGATGATATCATTTTTTAATGCGGTTGTCTGAAGATACTATAGGCAGAATTATGAGAATTGATGTCAACCTACAAAAGTTGTTCCAGGTACAATTTTGTGCTAATACCTTCATATTTGCTTCTGACACTGTATTTCCATATTTATGGTAATTCTCTACCATGTCATTTATTATAACCTCCACCATATCAATTGCAAAGATACCTTTTAATAAGGTACAGGACTACACCTTCTTGCAAAATACTTGCTTTTTTTATTTTTATGACTGTAAAACATGGGACTTCAAAACTTGGAAATGGCTGAATTCTTGAAAATGTCATAAGGGTCTAGGAGTAATAATTTTGAATGGCCTGTATTCTTTAACATGTAATGCACATATCAGTGAACACCAAGAAGGGGTGCTAGCAAATAGTGGGGGGGAGAGAGTATTTTGAGACTATCCAGATATTCCAGCAAGCTTTTATTCAACGGTACTGTGCAAAAGTTGGACACCAATCAAGTACAACCCATGTCCCCCTATGTTTTACACTGATAGGTGCATCATTCCATTCAAAATACAATCCAGTATTTTGCACTACACAGAAATGCATAGCAAGATGCAGAAAGCTAGTCACCAAATAGCACATAACTCTTACAGTTCTGGCATAAATAGCATCTTGTTCAAAAACTCTGATTCTTCGTGAAGAGTACTTAATTTCTTGACAAAAATGTTTGCAATATCTGCCTATATTTTAAGAACATGGGAGAAAAAATATACACTTTCCAGCCTAAGTTTCTAAATTGTTCTCTTAGAACAAACGAAAAATACGAAATTCAATCATTGCACGAATTTTACCCCCCAACATATACAGAAAGTTTTTGGCATATTCTTAACAGTTTTTTCAGTCTTACAAGCAAGAAACAATATTGTGATATACTGTGCTTTTTGATACCAAAGAGGTATTCCTTCTACAAATTCAAATAAAAAAACTACTAGGCAAAGGGCTCTAAGGCTACACCAATTTAATTTGTTGTTTCTTGTGTTCTGATTTGTTGTTTCTGATTTGCAAAAAAAAAAAATTGAAATAAAAGACATATTTTGGCCCCAACTGTTGAAGAAAGTCCTTTTCTTCCTAGTTCTTAAGTTTTTCAATGTAACAATGCAATTTTGTTTCATTAAAAGTTTAAAATCTATTGTTTTAATCATAAACCAGCCTGGTATGTTGACTTTATAGCTCATATTGTAACATTTCCGGCTATCATAGGGTGCCTTGGCCTGTTTTTTTTTTTTCCCTGTCGCTTCATATTTTTTCTGAAAAAATTTGAGAAACAACAAATTAAATTAGTGTGGCCTAAAGGTATATTTTTCCTCCATGTATAAACTGTGGACAGACGCTATGTAATGTTCAGAGCTCATCGCGAAGTAAAGTGTATCTGTTCTTGCTTGGTGCCAGCTTTATAAACTGACTCTCGGGCGGGGTGGTGGGCCTCTTTTCTTGTGGGGCGGTGCCGCCTCCCTGTACAAACATAAATAACAACAACAAACAATAAGTTTCACATAATAAACAAACAGTTTTGTGTGCCCTGTTTGGTACAGGTTCTGTAGATATATTTATTCACTATTTTGTATTTGCAGTTTTTATGTTTACCGAAGGAAAACATAATATTGTTTTTGCTCAGTTTCTTCTTCTTCTTCTCCAAACAGTGACCTCTGACCTGACCAATGACATGATTTGTTGACATCTGTGACCATGGTGACTGGTGTTGGGTTACATAATGTTGCAATTTCATGGTCTGCTCTGCTCCTGTCACCATATACTAGTAGCACATGTATGTGAATGTGTTAGACTAAGAATTAACAGAGGAGACCATGTCCGAAGGTAAACATTATGCATTTGCTTTGCAAATGTTACTTCAATCTCTAGTTTTAATAATATCAGAATTAATAGTACATTTTCTGATAGTAGAAATCTTGATAACTAAATGTAAAACAAGAAATGCTAAAATTATATAGTGAGGACAATGATTATATTACATTTAATGTCAAGTTTTGGATGTGCAGATTGGTGCATTTAGCACATTCGTCAAATACTTGATAGTTTCAAGTGGTACACTGATATCTGTGGCTTCATAGTCATACTTTTCTTGTGTAGAAATAAAAAGAGGTGGCTAAGTTCAACCTACATGTATTTTAGTTGGATTTGTAGAAAAGTTGAGAGTTTGGAAAAAAAAGTAGGTTTTGTGGAAATACATGTAGACTATCCCATTGTCTTACTTTCTTTACGCTTGGTTGCTGTCCTGGGTCTTTTGGCAAAGACCCAGCCTGTCCTCCTGAAGGCTGCGTATGGGGTTTTAAAAGATGCCATTTAGTCATATATTTATACTACCTTGCTGAATTGTTAGTTCATAAAGAAGACGAATGCAATATCAGCTCTTTGATCTGGTTTGAAAAAGATTGGAATATTTGGAATTGTCGGAAAAGTTTGTTAGATGTTAGTTTGGGGCAAGTCCAGAAAAGGGGGTTTGCAAGTCTTGAAAGGGATGGGGAAACAAAATCATACATTTCACAGATCCCATTGCATGCTGGGAGATGCAGGGCACTGTGGGTAATTAAGGTGGCAAATCATTCTACATTGTTGTGATTTTATTTGCCATTACCCATGGTGCCTTGCATCTCCCAGAATGCAATGGGATTCGTGAAACAGTATGTGTATAGGAGACACCCAATTTTTGCATCAACAATTTGTCTATGCAGCAAAAGACCTGCTCCAAAAATAACTTCAAAATGTTACTGTCAGAATTGTCGGAAAAGAATATATAATGTTTTAGCTGAATACAGTGAGAAAGCTTGGCTTTTTTTTCTTCATGCAAATAAATTGCATGCTGTTTGAAGTGGGATATATAGGGAGAAATTTGGTAACAAAACTCACAGAACTGGCTTTCCCATGTGTTGTTGTTTTGTCAGATATTTCCCTACCAGTTCCCACATCTGTACCAGCCTGTATGAGTGGTTTGTGGGGTCCTTCATTGGTTTTATCATTGCTTTCATTTGATGGGTCCTCAGGTTTTTCTGGGCTTTCTTCGCTATTTGGTGCCTGTGCAGTTTTGAAAGCAAAGAGATTTCTTTCCAAAACAGCTTTGGCAGTTTGTTAGGCCTAGGAAAAAATGTTATGTTTTCTGTTTCAGTCATGAAAACATTAAGGTTGGTAGATAGGGATTACATTTTTTTTTCCTTTCTTTTTATTTATTAAACTTTGGCAATCTCTAGTGATCCAACTTGTGATTTAACTTGTACAACACAGTTTAACAAAGTAAAATTTGCATGAGGACACTTATATTTTCAACGTCACTGTTGGAATACTCATTGTGCAACGTTTCATCACTCAGGTGTGGAGCTAGAAAAGGTCGATCAGCTTTAAATATGTTATGTCCCTTGCAGGGGTCCTTCCAAAAAACGTCTAGGGTTAGCAGTTTTTTCTAGGGTCGGCCAGGAAACAGGAAACACAACATTTTGTTTCCTAGGCCTAAGTGATCTTGGAGGAGCTCGTAAACAAGATGTATGTTGAATTCAATATAGAATTCAGTCAGTCCACTCACATGGCAGGGTGGTATTAGGCTACATCAGATTTTAAAGGTATCCAGTGCAGTTTTTAGGGCTTGGAAACCAGATTTTTCAAAGTCAATATTCTGGGCCCTTATTCACATACTAAGTTGAAACCACACTATCCCAATGTACATAGACATTCATGGAGCAAAAATAACCAAAATTCTGAGGAAAAACGGTCACTGGAAGGACCTAGATTGATTTTTAGGGTACCACCCAGAAAATAAAGGACCAATCTTGGGGCTTGTTTCTGCAATTTGAAATGCCTCAAGTATGAAATACTGATTGAAATGTGCTAATGTGGTATAGTATGTGTCAATATCACAAAGATTGCCTTATTCAGAATATTTCCAGTTTTGCTGCCCTGAAATTGCATTGGATGCCTTTAATGGCAGCATCTTGTTGAGGTTGGAGTGTTTTACAAAAAGAAGTACTGACCTGTTGTTGTTGTTGTTGTTGTTGTTGTTGTTGATCTTGCCCGGCTATCTGTGGAGGTTGGGTTGGGTCGGGTCCGTGGTGGAACTCTCTGTGGAGTTTCCCCGAGTGGAGATCGGCACAAAACTGTTTCAACTTCCCAGGTACACTGTGGATACACATCAAAACAGTTCTGTTATTATATTACTACATGTACTCGCAGTTAGGCCTAGGAAAAAAATGTTGTGTTTCCTAGGCCTGTTTCAGTCCTGAAAAAATTAGGGTCAGTAGGTAGGGACTTTCTTTGTTTTATTAGACTTTGGCAACCTCTAGTGATTGAGCTTAATATAACATACTGAGTTTAACAGAGTAAAACATGCATGAGAACACTTCTATTTTCAGTATCAATGTTGGAAAACTAATTGTACAATGTTTCTTCACTCAGGTGTCAGAAAAGGTAAACACACACAAAAAAAGGCTAGGGTCAGCAGTTTTTCTAGGGGCGGTTGGGAAACAGGAATTCGAAACACAACCTTTTTTTTCCTTGGCCTTAAGGTGTAGATTTAGAATTGAAAGGTTCTGGGGTCCAATCCTAAATAGGTACCAATGTTGCAGCTTGAGAAAGGCACTTAACAACAATTTGCCAAAAGTTTGGTGTCTCTAAGCAAAAAATTGTGTCAACATCAATTCCAACGTCCGAATCCAGTATCAGAATTTGCAAAGGTGACACACTGTGCATGTAAAATATGTTTGAATTGTTCTATGGCATATACAAACTTGCATGTTGGCAACCTTGCCATGTTGTTTGAGCAAAACTTTGGCCACATAACATGGGAGCTGACACTTGGCGATGCCTGATGGCAATGTTTTCTTCATTCTGCAGCACAGATTTTCCATTTTTTTGAAAGTTTTGTGTGGTTTGGAAAGAAAAGGGGTATGTGACATGATTTTTTTTTTAATAAGTCCGGAATCGGTTCTTGACTTTTAGGTTTTTTTGGACTTAAACCTAAACATTTTTACAAGTCCAGAACCGGTCCAGCAAACTGGACAGGTACACTGGACAGGTACACAGCACTTGTTATCACACAAGCTGGATCACCAGTATCATGGCCCAGCTACCGATATAACATAAATGTACTTGTTGTACAAATGAGGTATGTCACACCTTAAGGTAAAAAAAAAGTCCCCCTTTATTGAGAATGCCACAATATAAATTATGCACATGGAACAAAGGCAGCTGTTGCTGGTGTTGTGTCCCACACATAGAAACAAATACTGGACAGACAATACTCATTTTGACTTCAGTTAAGTGAGGAAAGTCATGTAAAGTGCCTTTCCCAAAGGCACACGATCGGTGGCATGTCAGGACTCGAACCCGGGACCTCTTGGTTCTGAGTCGAGCACTCTGCCATTATGACACACGACCCCACGATCATATGCTCTTGTTTGCTGACTAAACCAATCTACTACTATCACTACTACTTCTCCACTGGTACTTACCTCATCTGTGAGATATCAGGGAACAGGTACATGTGTCTTACCTCATCTGTGAGATCTCAGGGAACAGGTACATGTGTCTTACCTCATCTGTGAGATATCAGGGAACAGGTACATGTGTCTTACCTCATCTGTGAGATATCAGGGAACAGGTACATGTGTCTTACCTCATCTGTGAGATATCAGGGAACAGGTACATGTGTCTTACCTCATCTGTGAGATATCAGGGAACAGGTACATGTGTCTTACCTCATCTGTGAGATATCAGGGAACAGGTACATGTGTCTTACCTCATCTGTGTGATATCAGGGAACAGGTACATGTGTCTTACCTCATCTGTGAGATATCAGGGAACAGGTACATGTGTCTTACCTCATCTGTGAGATATCAGGGAACAGGTACATGTGTCTTACCTCATCTGTGAGATCTCAGGGAACAGGTACATGTGTCTTACCTCATCTGTGTGATATCAGGGAACAGGTACATGTGTCTTACCTCATCTGTGAGATATCAGGGAACAGGTACATGTGTCTTACCTCATCTGTGAGATATCAGGGAACAGGTACATGTGTCTTACCTCATCTGTGAGATATCAGGGAACAGGTACATGTGTCTTACCTCATCTGTGAGATATCAGGGAACAGGTACATGTGTCTTACCTCATCTGTGAGATATCAGGGAACAGGTACATGTGTCTGAAGCTGTCTATAGCCAACACAGGCAGGTCTTTGGTAGACTTCCCCAGGTGGTGCAGAGGGTGGGTGAACTTTGTACCATCAGCTATCAGGAAATTGATGTTTCCTAACACACAGAAAGAACCACAGTTAGAAAACTGCATACGTTTTCAATCTACTAATTTTCAAGGTAAGATTTTAATACAATACAGTATTAAACTAGAAAAGTAACATTTGCAAAGCAAATGCATCATGTTTACCTTCGCATATGGTATTCTCGGTTAATTCTTACTCAAACGCATTCATAATCATATATATACATGGTAACAGGAGTCTAAATCACTCATGCTATAAAATTGCAACATGATGTAACCCAACACTAGTTACCATGGTGACAGATGTCTGGTTCAGGTCATTGACCTTATTTGTTTGGAGAAGAAGAAGAGGAAGAAACTGAGGAAAACAATATGTTTTCCTTCGGTAAACATAATAAGATGTCTATGATGTCATTGATTCTATGTAGGTAAGGATAAGGACGATGACTATGGATAATGGCTTGGTTAGTTGGTTTTGATGACTACCTTGAGGTTGGGGTTCTTTAATTAGACCCTAAAGGTTTTGGGTTCGAATCCCTTGCCCTTTACTGAAATGAAAGAAATTGGACGCCCTACTTTTTGGTAGGACACCCTAAAGACGCCCTATTTTTTCCACTCCCAACCCCTGCCATGCACACATGCCTCCCTTCAGCCTTACTATAGTATAAAGGCAAAAAAAATGGTTTACCGAAGGAAAAAGAACTCAAATTCCTCAAAATTTGCACCTCAAACTGCAGAAAGTAGAGTTTGAGAGCATTACGAATTTCAAAAAAGCCCCCCTAAAAGCTTGCACACCACCTATCTTTGCTGCGCATAGCATACTGTAAAAAAATGGACACCCAACAAAAAATCCTAGCTAAAAGCCTGATATCACATAATCATTACCTTTTTCATGCAGCAGCTCTCTGCTAACAATCTGGTTAAACTTCTGGACAATCTGAGCGTCTTCAGGGTTGTGGAACAGGATAAGGAAAGGCAGACCTTCTTCTGTCAGCTCCTGCAAAATTTGAGAAAAAATTGGCATCAGAACACAATAGGATTGTTTGTTTTTTTTAAACCGAATTTTAACATCATTTTCCCCCAACCGGGGGTTAGACGTGCTTGCACCAAGTACAAGTCTTTTTTTGAAGCAAGATTTTTACGGCTGGATGCTCTTCCTAACACCAACCCAAATCCTAGTAGGGCCCAGGATCCCTCTAACTGAGGGAGGAAATGCGTGTTAAGTGCCTTTCCCAAGGGCACAACGTCTGGGTGCATGTCCGGACATGTCTGGGTCCAACCCTGGGGATTGAACCTGGGTCTTCTTGCTTGACAGTCGGACGCTCTATCCACTACACCACACAGACGCCAAAAGTACACACATAATTTGATTCATAAGTCAATGTTTATTGTTCATACTTGTTTGCCTGAACTGAAACCTTATGATGTTCCCCTTCCTGAGATTTTAATGCTGTTGTCTATTTTGTCAGTTTTACCAATTTCTTTCCCTTCCCACCAGTGACAGAAATATTGCTCAAGGACCATATGACTATAACAGAATGTACATATACATTTGTGCTAGCTTCTTTTCCCTCCATCCAGTTGTTGTAACAGAAAAGATGACACCATATCTTAACTCTAAAATTTACATGTATAAGTCATTAATTTTACAACAAATTTGTATAGGTTATATGGAGGCAGTACATGTACAATCAGGGGTCAATATAGATTTTAGGGTCAACTTGCACTGGTGCAGATAAAAAAAATTACTTGCACGAAAAACAAAAATTGTTGCATCCCCCAAAAAAATAATACGTACACAACCAAAAGTACATGTAGTAACTACATTGTATAATAGTATCCAATATTTGCTAACAGTTACACTGTTGTGGAATACCATGGCAGCAACTTAGATAGTAACTTCTAATTTCTATTAATTATAAAAATGAAGAAAAACTCCCTGGATTCTATGTTTGTTACCCTTTCAGTTCTCTAGTGGGTATTTCTATGGGTAGTGAGTCAATGTAGTAACAGATAAAGCTTACTTGCACCGGTGCACATCGGTAAAAAAATTAGTTGCACGGCACCAATTTTACCTACACCAACTTGCACAAGGAGAGGTATTTTGATCCCTGTACAATCTATCTGTTGATAAAAAAGTGATGAACTGACCTCCCCGTTTTCGAATGTGATCTCCCTGACCAGTGGCACACACTTGTCTGTTGACCAGGCGGTCAGTAGGTCCTTGTTGACCAGTGAACCAAGGTACACCATGTCCTGGTCCTTAGTCTGTAGTGGACACAGAAATAATACATTAAACAACCAAGATTTTACATAAAATTATTTATTTAGCAAACTAAAATACAGAAAATATTACCAAATGAGATAGTATCAGAATGAGTTGAATGCTTTTCTACTTACATATTTGTGGAAAAAACAATTACTTTTAGGTGTGCCATGATATTATTATAATCTAATATAACATTTAAAACATGGCATATCATAATTCAAACATTATAAAGGCCTTACAAAACTTCCTAACAAAAACAACAAGTTGAACTTTCCTTATAAGTATTTTAACTTTTGATGCACTTTCATATCATATAAAATATTTACAGGACTTTATTGTAGATTTTTCTTCATTTGAGTGGAAATTTTAATATGTTGGGAAAACATACCCACTGCCCAAATGTTGTGTCATAGATAGGGTAGAATAGAACGTTTGTATTGTAAGTATTTATTTGTAAACCATAATATATTGTATACAAACAAACTATCAGAAACATAGTAATAAAATTCTACTCGATTATTAAGGTACTTAAGTATTAATGTTTGTATTAAACCCTTACATTTTCTAGTCCTTTTTGGTGACACTTATATTGAGTCAAGGCATTTTTTAACTGTAACTATCATTGGAAACTGCACAATACTATTAAAAACCATACTAATTTATTATTCAAAAATACAAACAAGAAAAATACGTACTCTTGGGGGTCTAAAGATGATGTTGTCACCAGATAGCCTTTCCTTTTTGGATATCTCTCTGTAATAAAATAAGAGAAAAAACTAACTTTTACACCATGTTTTAACTATGTACTCACAAAAGAGCCACCTAGTGACAAGAAGCAGTCATTACAGCCAAAATAGACAACCTAAACTTCTAAAAATATGACATTATACCATAATATCCCTTGACTTGGCAGACTAGTAGCACTATTCTCAAAGACTTTTAACACAAAATTAAAACTGTTACATTTTTTATACTATCATGAAAGTTCATCTGTGTTAGTAGTTATTTGTTTAAAGTTAAAACTTTTGGTCCAACACAAAGAAGTTCTCTCACCTAGAGCTTTTGACCAGTCACTCTGGTCTTCCTCAGTAGACTGACCCAGTGAAGCTTGTCACGTCTACTAGATACCTTTGACCCAGTGTTGACGTCACACTTCAAAGAAGCCACGTGACAAGCTTCACTGGGTCAGTCTACTGAGGAAGACCAGAGTGACTGGTCGAAAGCTCTAGGTGAGAGAACTTTTTGTGTTTGATCAAAAGTTTTAACTTTAAACATGTTGAATTTTTTCTTCTTTCCTTTTCTTTAATTTTCTTGTTTTTTGGGCTACTAAAACCTAGACAACAAAGATTTTCAACAAAAGTTTATTTCTACTTACCCAACTGCTACAGTGAAGTCACAATCATCCCTAAGGTTGCTGGCTACTTGCTGAAAGGTCTTGTACTCCGGACTATCCATGCTATTGAAGTAACCAATGATGTTTCTCTTCTTACTCTGAATATTAGGAAGAGATGATCAACACGTAAGAAAGAGCATTATGATTATGTGTGATAACTCTTAGACATTGAAACTACAGAGAATATTTTATAATTTACAGTTAAGTTAAAAACTGAAAATATATTTTAAAGATTGAAAAAGAACATATGAAAAGAAATTTGTTTTTATGTTAACCTTCCCAGAAGGAAAACATGTTGTTTTTTCTCAGTTTCTTCTTCTTCTTCAAACAAAGTCAATGACATGAACCAGACGTCTGTCACCATGGTAACTAGTGTTAGGTTACATCATGTTGCAGTTTTATAGCAGGAGGGATTTAGACTCCTGTCACCATATATATGAATGTATTTGAGTAAGAATTAACAGAGCAAACCATATGTGAAGGTAAAGATTATGCATTTGCTTTGCAAATGTTACCTTTCTAGTTTCTTATTACGTTTACCGAAGGAAAGCATATTGTTTTTACTCAGTTTCTTCCTCTTCTGTTCCAAACACTTTAACCTCTGACCTGGCCAATGACATGATTTGTTGACATCTGTCACCATGGTGACTGGAGTTGGGTAACATAATGTTGCAATTTCATGGTCTGCTCTGCTCCTGTCACCATATACTCGTAGTACATGTATGTGAATGTGTTTGAGTAAAAATTAACAGAACAAACCATGTCCGAAGGTAAACATTATGCATTTGCATTGAAAATGTTACTTTTTCTAGTTTCTTAGACACTTACATCGATGTCATTGAGCTCCTTGAGGTCGTTGACCTGCTTGATGTTACTCTTCATCTGCTCTTCGATGTACTCCTTGAAGGCCTCCACCGACCTCTGACCTCTGTACTCGCGCTTCTGCACGCGACCGTTACGGAACAGCTTCAGGGTCGGGTATTTGGAGATCCCAAACTTCTGAGCAACCTCCGCTGAAAGAGCATCAAATATCGCATTTCAAACAGACGTTTATACAATGTAATTCTCAACTGATCTAAAGAGTTTGTGGCTCTGCTCCTGTGGCATTGCCAAAAACTGTTTTGGATAAACCAAAAAATTAAAGAATGAAATGGAAAAATTTATTAAATAAATAGATGCATGGATAAAATGAATAGATTCATTGATGGAATATACTTACTTTCCGCATCACAGTTCACTTTCCCAAAGACAACATTCTAGAAAAAAATATAAATTTCGTTATTAGTACTTGTACATTTCTAGAAAATCTTCCTTTTACATATACATATGTCATAACGCATTTGACAAATAAAAATGTTTGTATTGTACATGTACTAGTAAGTCATATTTCAAGTTGGATACAATATGGTTTTAGAAAGTGCTATGTTTGAATACACCAATTCAAATGACTAGTTTTATGATACAGATTAGAAATAATTTTTCTCTCTTGAAAATTAAAAAAAAATATATATAGATACAGTTGTATAAAAGTTAGTAAAGATGTATAGGTAGACAGAATTAATTCAGATAATTACATAACTAACTGACTAACCTGGATAGCTGTAGGCACAGTGTTGGACGCCTCTTCAAATACAGGTTCCAACATCTTACTAAACCGACACCTGTGGTAAAAGAGTGAAAATATCGTAAATAAAAAATATGTAATATTTCTAGTGGTTTTATGCTAGCAGTTTCCATTAAAAAAAATATCAGTATCTTTTATTTAATATGTCAAGATGTAAAATTTTACCAAAAACTTGACAAGCAATTCATAACACAAATGACTATACTTACCAATCAGCATAGAAGTTGACAAACACCAGCTCATTGTGGTCTGCAGATATAAATAACAACAACAAACAACAACAGACTTAACATGTATGTCATACTCATAGATAACTTTAACCCTCCAAGTCTGGTTTGATGAGAACTAAGGCTTCATTGACCACTCTTGGCATAAGAATTGTTAAATTAAAACCTCAAAAATTTATCCTGCAAATACTACAAATGTTAATAGAATATATACATGCAGTTTAAATATTGCAAGCAATATTTAACTGTTCTTACGTGCATTTTGTTGTGTGTTTTCAATGAATTTTAAAAATTCTAATGCTTCAATGTTTTACTGGCAAATTACTGCACTCACATGCATTTTATTATGTGACTTTAATGAATTACTAGTATAAAAGTTCTATGTAATTAATATTTACATGCAAGACAAGAAACTATGCACCGTGCAGTGAGTTAAAACAAAATTATAAGCTTTCAGTGAAATATTAGTATTGTGGAAAATTGTTAGTTGTGCAGTTAGAAAGATGTCATTTTAACAGGTGATATATTGAGAGATGGAATTGGAATTAGGAACAATGAAATATTATATATGTTGGCAGCAAAATTCTTTTTACCTACACAAATAAATGTACAAATTTTTCATGGAGAACAGTCGATACAAAGATGATTGAATCAATCTAGATCAAGTTTTTTTATAATTATTCCTGACTTTTGAATTTATTGATAATGATAGATTTGGAAGAAACCATGCTACATTGGCGAAGGAGTGTTCACATTGAAAACTTTTCTTTCTAAAACCTAATCATTGTGCTTTCACCTGATTGGCTCTGAATTGCTACACTGTTCTCTGATTGGCTGGAAAATTGAACTGTTCATCGCTGCTACTGACTGTGCACATGTCAATCAACTTCTTCTCCATGGGTGACAAAGCTATGGAGGGGGGATATTTTCCACACAAAAAAAATAAAAAAGAAACAAAAACTACTACATTTGGAAGTACAATGATATAACAGGGCTGCAGCAAGCATTTTTCAATGGTAAAATATGGGGGAAAACTTCCCACCCCTTTCCCTTGGAGAAGTAGCTGATAGGTGCACAGGTCAAGACTTACTGAGGACGCCGTCAATATTGTTCTTCTGGAGGATAACTGCCGAACTGTCTGTTGGGTTCTGGAACAAACTGGCCTGGGTTCGTGTGGGAACAGAGTAGAGTGCATTCAGTGCAAAGAAAAGTGTGCACTGCACTGGGGGGGGAGGGGGGTGGGGGTGTCACCGGCACTTTGTTATGGTGTTGTTGTTTTCTTGTTAGATTGTTGATCTTGAAATTTGATCTGCTAAACAAGGACACGTCATAAATCCATGCTGACTTGTCATGGCCTTCAAAAGATATTTTTAGTCCCAATATTTTTGAAGTTTTCAGTTTTCGAGGTGACCTCTTGCCACTAACTCATCACATGGCAAAAACATATGCTCTGTCTTCCTCTGTGTTACTTCAGTTGTTTCAAACGTAAACTCAAAAATACTGAAAAAAAAAAGCAGAAAACTTAAATTTTCACAGAGCAGAAACTTAACCGCCGCAAACCCAAACAAATTTAGTAGTAACTGTCTTCTAGTATCCAGATCCATTAGTTTCAAAGGAAAGAAAAGAACAACAACCCTCCAACAAAGCACCAAAAGTCACCAACCATCCCAAGTCCCAAACCAGTGTAGTCTAGAGACACACACACCATAGAAACACGGCCGTTAAACTTACTCAGTACGTCCTCTAGGTTGGAAACAGTGATGGGAACAGTCCTGGTGTCTGTTGGATTACCAAACAGAACTGCCTGCTTAAAGGAGGGGGAGAAAACATTGGTTAGAGACCACTCTCTTTCAAAAACGTAGGTTTGAGACCATTCTCTAACCAAAACATAGGTTAGAGACCACTCTCTAACCAAAACATTGGTAAGATATCAATCTCTTCCAAAAACGTATGTTAGAGACTATTCTCTAACCAAAACATTGGTTAGAGACTACTCTCTAACCAAAACATAGGTTAGAGACTATTCTCTAACCAAAACATTGGTAAGAGACCAATCTCTTCCAAAAACGTAGGTTAGAGACCATTCTCTAACCAAAACATAGGTTACAGACCACTCTCTTCCAAAAACGTAGGTTAGAGACCATTCTCTAACCAAAACATCGGTTAGATACCAATCTGGACTGTAATAAAAGAAAAAATGTTATGTCCATTAAAAGAAAAAAATGTTACTAGTATATCCATGGTAGCTGTAAGCTGTCCATCAAAACTTTGATCAAATTAACAGTTCGACGGTTCGACCAATGAGAGCGTGACACTGCACAAGAGTGAATTTTTGCATACTTCGCCCACTCCAGTGGCCAGACAAGGGTATGACATTGTTCTTGGAACACATCCCAATTTTTCATCATGTCAAATTATCCAATTAAATCTGCCCCCCAGTCATTTTGTCTTCACTTTATCTTGAAAACATGACACATTTTCTTTGGGCAATCTATGGATAAAAAGGACAGCATTCTTGCAAAGCTTTCTCTTCAATTTGATTTTTGAAAAAGGCTTTGTAAGGGATTATAACCAAAAACCAAATCAAATTTTGGCGCTCTTAATTATTAGCCTATGAGCGCTCGCCACCTCCGTAGCGGCCATTCGAGGGTAAACAATCAACCACCGAAAACTTCGGCCGGAAAAAATACCAACAAACTTCCAAGAACTCCACAATTTCGCCTGTACTTCCGTCTAAAACACTGATATCCCTTGTATCTTCCTGCAAAATTGTCGGCATTGATATAATCAAATCGATAAAAATTGATCGGAAATATTAAATATCAAAGGATGATGTAAGGGTAATTATTATAGAAGCTAGAAGACAACATCGCGTGCAAGTTTTGACCGCAAGAAAAAAAAAACATGACGATTTAAAAAGCTACAAATTATTTTCTTCCTCAAATTCTTGCAGGAAAAATTCACAGATCCAACACGTAATATGTGTAGTTGCTATATTTATATCATTTTTCGAGATGAAATTAAATTTTTAAGTCCTGATCGTAAAACAATTTGTTGTTTAAAGCTGACAGATCAAGGAAATGAACGCCCCTCCCACCACGCTCGTTTCAGATTTTGGGACATCAATAAATTAGCCTTAAGGCGATCTGCTTCTAAGAACCTGCTAAGAAAATCAGTCTCAAGATGAGCTAAACCTACAAGGAAATCTGAAAGATCTAAACGTTTTGGAATATGGAAAGAATTTTGTGTACACATATGTTGAGAAAACAGGATTTTAACCGGTAAGTTGTCTTCAGTATACGCACGCATACCCTTGAATAAACTATCATTTTACCACAAAACGTCGCGCGATCTTACCAAATAGAAGAGAAAGAAGGTGAACTGGAAGCTCATAAGTCTCCTAGCCGCATCCATCGTGGAATTCCGATGAAAAAATCGTAAGAAATTCAAGGATTTTTTCACGCTTCTTTTTCCTCAGGGCAAAACCCGGCTGCCGAACCCCCGCTGGTAAATCCAATATGGCGTCTTTACCCCAATCTCTAATGGCTTTTCTTGCTAATCTTTCTCCATGGATTCTCACCTCACTAATCCATTTATAAGCTAATAATCATAATTCAGAGACACTAAATGATACAGTTAACCAGTTCTATAGTTTATTAATATCAAAGTTTTGTGATTATTTAGAAACAAATCCTTTGAAATAATGATTTGTGGGAAATATCAGTAAAAGCAGTTGCTATATGAGGTAAATCTCTATTAGGCGATACCAACATTGAAATAGGTGGTTGCAATAATTTATTTGTACTTATTTTACTTTGTATAAAACTTAGATTCATTTTGATAAAGAAATACAGTGTATAAGTATAAAACTATATTAAATAAATCTAGAAGTAGTAAATATTTGAGATCTTATTGTTAAACAAATCTGTAATTTATTTGCCTTTCCCCTAAATTTGAAAAGACTAGTCCAATTGCAACCTTTGACATTCTCCCAAGATACATCCAACACAACACGAAAATCAAGTGTCAACTTTGCGTGAAAAATGGCAAATTGCCCGAGGATATATGATAATTTTACCGTCAGAAGTCACGCAAGATGATCCACAGGATGTTCCTTACGTAGATAACGACCAGCTGCGCTTCCGGACTCCATTTTGTGAGTTTAAAACTCCGTCTTTTTCTGCCGTTTTTAATCTTTTGGCATGCAACAGTTTATTTCCGATTTGTGTGTGAAAGTGAAATATACATAAATGATTAGATTAATTGTCAAGTAATCAAAACAATGGCGGCCAGAACTCGTACTATATACACTAGATTTTATCAAGCAGGTTACCTCCATGATTTTCTTCCTACCTAAAAAGAATTGTTGGGATTATTTTATCGATTTTTATGAGTTTTCAGCAACAGCTGTTTTGTGACATTTTTGTATCTTACTAGTTTTAGATAATTTTATCCTAGATAGCAACAATAGGATATAGGGTCTTCTCAATCTTTAAAATGGTAGCAGTATTGTCTATTTGTAAACTTTGAAAGTCTACATAGATCAGTTCTCTGCTGTACTTGTTTGTTTGTTTGTTTGTTTGTTTGTTTGTTTGTTTTTTCATACAGTGCAAAGCTGGTGTGTTATGCCGAAAGGCGGTTATACCGGCTATACAGATACAGATACAGTGTGAATTATGTTACACTTTTGGAAATTCGATATACCACGTATACATTCAATGATTGGTGAAATTTTATAAGATTAGGTAGAATTAGATCAAACAAGACTCTTACTAGTATTTAAATAAGTCAAGTTGACAACGATTAAGAAACAAATACATGAACCAGTGGAATCATAATTAAATGACACAGGCAACTTGAGAAATTTAAGATGAACTTGATTCTGTATCTGTATAGCCGGTATAACCCCCCCTTTGGCGTAACACACCAGCTTCACAGGCACACGGCGCGGCGGCAGCTGGCTACATTACACTGAATGACTTGTTACAACTTACCCTTGAACATATAACTCTAAACATTGTTATCTAATGACAATGCCCCTACTGTACTTGGTGACAGCAAGTTCCACTCTGCGATAGTTCCAGGAAAGAATGAGTTTTTGATCATGAACACCTCAATCCTTGGTTGATAACTCTGGTACTTGAAGGCATGGCTATTTCTTGTTCTCTTCTGGGCTGGTATTAGGTACTAAGTAGTTGGGACATCCACCAGTTTATTAGTCATTTTGTACATCATGCATAGTCTGGACATTTTTCTTCTGTCTTCCATGCAGTGACACCCACTGTAGGTTACTTTTCATTTCCGTGACACTAGCACCTCTTTCATAGTTGTTCATACAGAATCTTGCAGTTTGATTCTGTACCCTTTCCGGTTTATCTTTGTCTTTCTTTATTTGTATATTGACTATTCTGACTATTATTGTTTATTTTTGTTTACTCTGGTTTGTTTACAGAAGTTACGTGACAGATTATGGCGACCATGTTCGCCCAGCCTGGACCGTCGGGAATAGGCACGACGGCGGAACGTAAGATCTCGGCCTCCTCGCTACGCAGAGAACCGACCTCCGCTACGCAGGTCCATGCAGCTGCGGTAAACGGAGACAAATCCATGCTGCAGAAACTCATATTCGGTAAGTGTGTGTTCCGGTAAAATTGAATAAGATATGATATCTAAGATTAAGTAAGAATTAAGCTATCATGTACATGTACATGTACTAGTACATAGTGTCAGTGGTTAGTGTGGGACACTCAATACTAATTTCCAAGCAGATCCCAAGGTCGCAAGAATAGAGTACATTGTACTAGTATCAAATTGGCCAGACAGTATCCAATTGGCCAGAGAGGGTCCATGCGTGACCCAAGGTGGGGGGTAGCGACAAAAAAAAAAAAAAAACGGCCCTCTTTCCACCACAGCCTCTGCTTGGAGAGTAACTCAGTACATAGTCCAGAATTAAAAGTCCTGGGTTCAAATGCCAATGTTGTGCCTTGTTCATACGTTTTCCCTTTGAAATTTAGGGCAATATTGTTCCCAGCAGCATTGAATCTTGACCCCTGTTTGTCCTATTGAACAGCAATCTCTCAAGTTATGATGTCAGGGAGAAGAAATTATTGTTTCAGTCTTATTTATGTAACCCATAACCTTGGAGTTGCCTTCAGGTATTGCAATGTGCTGACAATTGACAAAAAGATTGAGAAATAAAATAAAATCCATTATAAATTTGGACATTGCTTGATTCAGTGCCATGCTATTAGAAACCAGTTGTACATGTATGTATGTAACACTGGCATGTGAAAGCATTGTGGATTTGTTTTAGTTTCTGTGTAATGTAAAGTAGGTGTTGACATATACATACAGGCTATACAGCTGTGATTGTATGTCTAATTGCTAGTCACTATGACTATGAGTCACTGTCTGTGGGGTGTGGAGTGTTATTATGCCTTTTTGTATCCACCAATCACAACAAGTGTTTTAATAATCAGATTACAATGAATCGTGGGCATCCATTGGTTGGTTCAAATTTCCAATATTCCTTCCAATTGGTCAGAATATTCTATACAGTACTCATAATACAGGTATGTGTCATTAATACATGTATTTGATAAAATAGTACTGCTTTTTCCAGTACATAGCCAATGCACTCAACAGTACAATACAGTAGATAAATGTCAATGTTTGTGTATGTTTAATAGTACAGTTAACAAAAGAGGTGACAAGATACATGACGAAGCAACAAAAGCATCTTGTTCACAATTGCAAGATACATAATCATGATAGATGTAGACACTGTCATTTGTTCAATTTCTGAATTGTTCAAAAACAATTCCAATTCATACTTCAATACACCATTACAAGGGCTTCAAGATACAAGAAAGTGTCAAAATAGTATACATAATATGCAATTATAAAAATTTTACTTCAGTAGTCATACATACATTTGTACATGCACATTTTTTTATTATATTGTACTATTAACTATTGAACATCTGTCTCTATTGATAAAGGTCACTACAATACATGAATGGTGTAACAAAATGTCACAAGGTTATGGGTGAAAAGAGTTGTTCTTTTGGGAATTTCAGACTGTGATAAATAAGTTATGAAGGAGTCAGATACAGTATTATCTATTTACTTACACGCACATCAATGGTGTCAATAAACATGTATGAGTCCTTGATTTTGCAATGATATAAGTTCTGTGGTATTTCAGTCCATACCACAGGTATGGATGAATTATATTGTTTTCTGTGATGTTTTTCCTCCTCCTGCCATTTTGTTAAGTGGATTCAATTTATTCATTTTTTGGCCAAATAACATAAAATTTGGCATGAAGGTAGAGTGGCCAAATACCCTCAGACTTTTTTTTTTCATATTTTGGATACAGGCTTTTAAAATTGTTAGTTATAATTGTTATGTTTACCGAAGGAAAACATATTGTTTTTGCTCAGTTTCTTCCTCTTCTTCCTCTTCTTCTCCAAACAGTGACCTCTGACCTGGCCAATGACCTGATTTGTTGATGTCTGTCACCATGGTTACTAGTGTTGGGTTACATCATGTTGCAATTTCATAGTGGGAGGGATTTCGACTCCTGTCACCATATATATGAATGTGTTTGAGTAGGAATTAACAGAGCAAACCATGTGCGAAGGTAAACATTATGCATTTTCTTTGTACATGTAAATGTTACTTTTCTAGTTGATTGTTAATTTTAGTACCTTTATATTCCCCTAGCTAACCCAGAACTGATAGACAGTGGAGACCAGTTTGGCAGGACCCCCTGATGTACTGTGTACTGGCAGACAGACCAGAGTGTGCAGAAACTCTACTGAAGACTGGAGCTAACGTCAACAAAAAAGACCAGGGGGGAAGGACTGCACTGCACTTAGCTGCACACAGGGTATGGCATTGCTTAACCCTCTTGTTGCCACGGGACCAGTATGACATTGTTATACTGATATAGAGTACTATATATGGCCTCCGTCGGTCAATACTGATAGGTAGGTACTAGGTAGAGTAGTAGATTAGGTAGGTACTAGATAGAGTAGGTACTAGATAGAGTACTAGGTAGCTAGTATAAAGTAGATACCTAGTTGAAAGGTACCGGAATGTGTTAACCAAATCTATCTGTGTGTCTGAAATGAATTTGTATTAAGCATGTATAATTGCATAGTACAAACATGTATTACATACTTGTACATTATGTCCTTATGTCATGCCTGGGCCGCACTTACATTTGATACAGGACTAGTGTTCCAGCCTGTGTGATAACTAGCGGTACGGCCCGGTTCTATTACAGTACGGCCAGGCTTCCGTGTTTTACAGAATAATTTGAATTTGAATGCATTTTGCAAACTTCGAACACTGAATTCGGGTGTTAGAATTGATGCCGTTACACTTTTTGTTGAGATACACCAAATTTTGGCACATTTCGCATTGAAATGTCGTTTTTTTTGGGTGGGTATGACATACATTGTAATTAAAATACAACACGGTGTATTCCGCATCACCCTTGGTCCCGGCCCCCCTACGGATCGGATCTCCCTCCGTCCTTTGACCATCGGGCGATCCGACCCGCGGTCAGGCTGGTACCTCAGGCGATACGGAATACACTGTGTAGTATCCTATATGTGTAACTCTACCAGTATTCTACCAATACAATACTAGTGTCAGGACTCCAAGAAATCTAAGACATGTTTCATTTTCTTCCCACAGGGAAACTTTCGATGTTTGAAACTGATGATTTCAAAGGGTGCCAACTGGAGAGAGAGAGACAAGGAGGCAGTCACAGCCTTACATCTGGCTACTAAACACAAGAGTCCCAAACTGGTGGCCTTGTTGTTAAAACAGATGGAGCCGGGGGATGTGGACATGCAGGATGAAAATAAAGTGAGGTTCTACACAGTGTCCAGTGAAAACTGGAGAATTTGTAGGGTACTACAGAAAGTTTTAAGTTTTAGCTCTGTTGTAAGTTCTTCTGAGATGTATTGTACATCTATATATCTATAGTATTATTGTTTTTGCTACATTTCTTCTTCTTCTTCCCTTCCAAACACTGACCTCTGACCTGGCCAATGACCTGATTTGTTGACATCTCTCACCATGGTAACTGGTGTTGGGTTACATAATGTTGCAATTTTATAGGAGGAGGGATTTATACTCCTGTCTGACCATAGATATAAATGTATTTGAGTAAGAATTAACAGAGCAGACCATATGTAATGGTAAACATTATGTATTTGCTTTGGAAATGTTACCTTTCTAGTTATATTTTTTGTTTGTTTTTTTTCAACAGAGAACTGCTCTGCATTGGAGTGCTTCATATGGAAATGCAGAACATGTCAAAACACTCATCAAGCATGTGAGTAACATTATTCAAAAACATCATGTCACAGTTTTGTATGCTCTGTATAGTGTATATTGCAGATGGATTTCAAAAGTACCTGCACAGCTCCAATTTCTCAGCTCGATATTGTCATAAATGTACAGTTGAATGACAAAATCTTCTGTTGTTTGTAGGACTTTAACATTGGCATCCCAGATACAGCCGGTAAAACTCCCCTGCACTGGGCAGCTAGCAGTAAGGACCCCTCCGCTGTACAGGCTGTCAAGTACCTACTGGTGAGATGTGCTTCTTGTCTGTGTTGTTAAACCTTTCAGCATTGGGTGGCGCAGTGGTAGAGTGTTCAACTATGAAACGGAGAGACCCGGGTTTGATCCCGAGTTGTACCCAGGACATGTCTGGACATGCACCCCAATGTTTTGCCCTAGGGAAAAGCACTTTACACAACTTTCCTCACTCCACCCAGGTGTGAATGGGTACCTAACTTCGGTTGGGGAAAGTTGTATTAAGGTCACCGCTGAATGGCAGCCGCACAGACCCTTGCAACAGTTCCACAAAAATGTTTGGAGCAAATATGTTATATGTATCATTTGTATGTGATTGTTTGACCAATAAACCATTTATTATTATTAATACATGGCACTGGGAGTGTGAGAGTTAAAAGAATCAAAAAGAATTTCTGAGGAAAAACTTAGCCATGTCATTTGCACGTTAAAAGTAGTTCGCTTAAGATTGAACAAATTTTAATCATTAAGATGTAATTTTTTTCTGTAACTTTTTAACTGTGATTTTTTTTCTCAAATGCTACTATAATCTTTGTATTCTATGTATGTGCTACGTTAGGATGCAGTCATGGTGAGTTCTCAGAAATAAAGACTTTCAAACTATGTTGTGAATCAAATCTGTGTTGTACATTAATGTCCGATTTATTTCGATAACATGGCAAATATTGTAGTCATGAATAGAATCAATATTTAGCAATTGAAAATTATTTTTAGCAGATTTATGCTAATTTATTTTGTCCTTTTTTCTCCAGGAGGCAGCCCCAAGTGTGATAAACTGGCAGGACTATGAGGGTCGGACGGCCCTACACTTAGCAGTGGCTGATGGCAATGAAAAAGTAGTGGATGTGCTGGTTAGTAGTTACACCCTAGATCAAACTAGTACTGTGGACATATTACATAACTAGAATGTACTGTGCCTGCAAAACCCCCTTTTTACTCCGTGAAGGAGGTCAGGACCTCCGGACGGAGTGTTGTAATCGGCTGATTTTTCATGTTCGCAGTCAAAACACTGGGTTCTCTTCGTGTAATCGGCACGCAATTTTATACGCCGTCTGCGGGCATGCCCGTGTTGATGCACGAATGTGTATTTTTGCCGTTGCTGCTTTCGCGGTCAATGTAATATCGCAGACGCACCCCTACAATTACGAGGCGAATTGGAACGGTCCAGAAAAACGCGTTGTTTGGAATAGCGGGGGGGGAGGTAAAAGTTCATGCAGATACGGGGTGGTTTTTATAAGTGGTTCCAGATGTTTTTGCCCATGGTTAAGAGATGCCAAGTTTTTTGGAAGATGTTCGCAGCCAAAACGCATTCTGCCGTACGTCGCATATCTGTGTAATTTCGCATGTGGTGTTGCATTATGTCCGGGATGATGCACGTCTTTTTATTTTTACCGTAGCTGTTTTGATATTGGAGTAAATGGTTATTTTCGAAACATCCCTACTTTTACAATCCTGTGGAATAGACCGTAGGTTTAGGCAGTTGTCTGGTAGCAGAGGTACTGTAAGCAGATATCCTGGTTATCTGGCCGGCGGTAGTAACACTCGCGGTGCTTACCGC